GGGAGGAAGCTCTGCAGGCAAAGGCGTTGGAGGAGGGAAGAGGGTGGCACGTGCCAAATCCTGATTTGAGCCTCTCCAGGGCTCTCGGTGCTGCCCGGCCTCCATCTCCCGCTCTCTCCGCAGGTCCAGACCCGGAACATCCGCTGCCTGCCGGACGTCCTGGTCATTAACTGTGAGGTGAACAGCTCCAAGGAGGCAGATTTCTGGAAGACACAGGCTGAGGTGGGGGAGACACTTGGGGGCAGAAGCAGGCTTGTTCTCCCTGGCACACGGGGTTTGCTGTGTGTCCAGTTCTGCGGACATGTTTTCACTCTGATCTCGCTGTCTCTAATGGTCTCTTGCTCTCCACCCAAGTGTCACCCTACTTTGTTTGCAGAGGACATGGTGGTATTTGGTCATGCTTGTAGCATGAGCCATGCGTTTGGAGTTGGAAAAGACAAGATCTCCTGCCATGACAAAGCTGATGGGACTGCAGTAGAGTCACTCTTTCCTTCCCCCAGTCCCCCCAGGACCTAGGAGCAGCAAGGCAGTGCCCACTTCCCAGAGCACAAGCCCAGCAGAGAGCGGGCAGACAGTTGGGTTTCCCTCGCTGTCTTTTTCCCTGTCACCAACTTTAAGGTCCCTGTCTTTTCCCCACTTCTGGCCTGGCTGTCACCCACGTGTTCCCAAGCCCAGCCTGTCACTCTCTGCTGATGCTTGCCTGTGTTTCGTTGCCAGTATGCCTTTCAGAGAGCCATGATGAAGAGAGGAGGCTTTGAGATCACCAAAGGCAAAGAAATCTCTCTTGGAGAGTGGTAGGTGACAGTTCCTGGGGTGGCGACTCTGAGTAGTGACGCCTTCCAGGCCTCTGGGCCTTGGAGAGCTCAAGGGCATTTCTCCTCTGATAATGATAATTTGATGATCTACCTGTCTGCAGCTCCTTGTGGGCTCAGAACTGGAACAGTCTCATTGCTGCTCTGAGACTGTGACCCTGCGTGGGCGCTCTGTGCAGCAAGCCCTTCAGATACCTGTGTGATCCACCTTGTGATCCACTTCTGAGTCCCCAGCCCTCATTCCCCTTCCCTTTTAAGATGCACAAAACACCCAGGACCACCTTTCCCAGGGTCCTGCTCTAGGCAGCTGTGGGGAAGTGGTGCAGGTCTGACTGCCCGTCTGTCCTGCGGGAGGTTTGGGAATAGGCTGGTGAGTGAGTGGGTGGAGCGATGGGGATCCTGCCCTGGAGAAATTGGCCTGTACGACATCTCATGACTCTCTCCGACTCGGCCTTCCACAATTCTCCGTGCAGGAAGGAGCTGGGGAACCCCAACACGGGGCACTCGTATCCTTCTGTGGAGGAACTGAAGAACATTTGGATCCCCCACGCCATCAAGATGCGGCTGACCAAGAGCAAGGAGCTCGATGTCTGCAACTGGAGTGAGAACGATGAGGTAAAGGCTGATGAGATCCCTCTGGGGCTACATGGTTGTGTGCACGTGGGGCTGCGGGAGCAGAGTTGCTTCACAACCGTTTTCTGCTGAGCGTGTGTGGGTGAGAGATAACGAGGTTGTCTCGGAGACACCTCGGGTGAGCATGGAAACCGCTGGGCTGGTGGTGAGACAGCGTGTCTGAGCTCTGGGGTTTGGGTTGGAGGCCTGGGAGCTGCCTGGCAGGCAGTTGAGGCTCAGACATTTCTGTGGGGGCTGGTTCCTCTTGCAGCTGAGCCCGACTGATGACCCTGAGTCGGTGTATGTTTATGATCTCATGGCCACTGTCGTCCACATCCTGGATTCCCGCACAGGGGGCAGCCTGGTGGGGCACATCAAAGTGGGAGAGACCTACCACCAAAGGAAGGAGGTGAGAAGCCCTGCGGGACGGGTGCTGCCGTGCCCGCAGGCTGCCGAGAGCGGCCCTGCTCCCCGGGAGCCCTACCTTGCCAAAGGGTTCTCGCCCACAGCTTGCTCCGGGGTCGGATGGTTTAACAGATCCATTCCTGGGTCTCTTGGTCAAGTGTTGAGTGTTTGGCTGAACGTGCCAGGCAGCCCTAAAGAGCCAAGGGCTGCTCAGGCGCCTTACGGGGAGGGAAGGGCTGAAGAAGCGCTCTTCCCACGCTTACTCAGGCTAGTTCCTCCTGGTCACGGGCACATTGCCAGCAGGTCCTTGTGCTTCCAGGTAAGGGCTGGGACGTCATCTCCCTTCCCGAGGAAAGAGGGCTGGTCTGGGCAGTCCTGTTTGGTGGACATGCCCAAGCCAGGAGTTCCCAGAGTGTGTCAAGGCTGCATCCCTGTCTCTTATCTGTTGCATCTCCGTGGAGTTTTGGTTGGGAGTTGGGCAGAGACCGTGCTTGTCCAGCCCCAGTGCTTCACACGCGCATTGTCACCACCCAGGCCAGCAGGGATTTCCCCACGGTGTCCCAGGAAGGGCGGGAGTTCCCACATGGCATCGTCACACCCCTTTCCCTGGTAACTGGGTAGAGGAGTCATTGCACTTGCCGGCCGGGGCGGGGGGGCCCCCTAAGCCAGTGCCTGTGCCTCTCCCCCCAGGGAGTCACACACCAGCAGTGGTATCTCTTCAACGACTTCCTCATCGAGCCCGTGGATAAGGTGAGCACTCTGGCTGTGTGTTGAGGTGAGACCGTGGCTGTGGGGACCCTGTGGAGGGGGTTTCCCCATGCCAGGCTGCCCCTGCCCTGAACCCCCCACCCTTGCAGTGCGAGGCAGTGCAGTTCGACATGAGCTGGAAGGTGCCAGCTATCCTGTACTACGCCCGGAGGAACCTCAACGCCAAGTACAACCTCATCAGTGAGTGTCTGGGGTGGAAGTGGCTGCGTGGCCAGCGGTGCCGGCTCGTGGCTGATTTCCCTTCCCCTTTTCCTGCAGTCAAGAACCCCATCGAAGCTAGCGTGCTGCTGGCAGAGGCCTCCTTGGCTCGCAAGCAGCGCAAGTGCCACGCCACCTTCATCCCCCTCATGTTGAGCGAGATGCCGCAGGCGGGCGACCTGGTGGGGCTGGACGCCGAGTTTGTCACGCTGAACGAGGTCCAGCCTCCCCGCGGCAGGGGACGGGATGCTGGGGGGCAGGGGAAGCCCCTCCGGAGCTGTCGGCCACCAAGTTCTCCTCTCGCCCATGGCAGGAGGAGGCTGAGCTGCGCAGCGACGGGACCAAATCCACCATCAAGCCCAGCCAGATGTCGGTGGCCAGGATCACGTGCGTGCGCGGGCAGGGCCCTAACGAGGGCGTCCCCTTCATCGATGACTACATCTCCACCCAAGAGCAGGTACGGGGCTCCTGCCTGGCCTCACGCAACTCCCCAGCTCCCTGGGGAGGACATGGCACCCCACTCCACGGCAGAGCACCCACAATAATGACAGCACCCTCCCTGGGATGCTGGCAGGGGAATCGCGGAGGGGACAGCTCCCCTTGGCCCTCCGAGCCCACCACCGTCTCCACAGGTAGTGGATTACCTGACCCAGTACTCAGGGATCAAGCCGGGAGACCTGGACGCCAAGATCTCCTCCAAGCACCTCACCACTCTCAAATCCACCTACCTGAAGCTGCGCTTCCTCATTGACGTGGGAGTCAAGTTCGTGGGCCATGGGCTGCAGAAGGATTTCCGTGTCATCAACCTGATGGTGACAGGGCCGAGCTCCCCTCCCTCGCCCCGGGTTGATGCGGGAGGCTGGTGGCAGTATCAGGGCTCACCGCCCCCCTCTCTGCCTTGGCCCCCCTGCCCTGGTAACAGGCCCCTCTCTGCTTTCCAGGTGCCCAAGGACCAGGTGATTGACACAGTCTACCTCTTCCACATCCCGAGGAAGAGGATGATTTCCCTGCGCTTCCTTGCCTGGTACTTCCTGGGTCAGTGGCCGAACCCTCGGATGTGGGATGGGCGAGGAGTGTGGGGCGGAGGGGAGCAGAGCCCCGTGGGGTCCCCGCCAACCCCCTCCCTGACCGGGGTGCTCCCCACCACCCCAGATCTGAAGATCCAAGGGGAGACCCACGACAGCATCGAGGACGCGCGCACGGCGCTGCAGCTCTACCGCAAGTTCCTGGAGCTGAGCCCGCAGGGCGCCGAGCCCGAGGATTTCCGCAAGGTGCTCAAGGGCCTCTACGAGAAAGGGCGTAAGCTGGACTGGAAGGTGCCCGAGCCCGACACCCAGAGCAGCCCCAAGCGTAAGGCCCCACCGCAGCCCCCCGTGTCCCCCCGTGCTCCCCCGCCGCCCCCTCACCCCGCTCTGTCCCCTGCAGATGGGGCCGTGTACCCCCCCGTGCTGGCCCTCTGACCGGACCCCACGTCCCTCTGGTGAGGAGCAGCCCCGGGACTCCCCGAGGGAGGTGGACACGCGTGGAACTGGAACCAGCAGAGGGGATGGGGCTGTCCCCGACCAACCCCACCCCCCCGCCCCTCCCCAGGGCCCGGTGCCCCGGGACTCCCTCTCGCTGCCGCTACCGGCTATCGTTGCCACCCCATTCGCCCGCCGGTCCGGGCACCCTCATAAAGCAGCCTCGGACACCCACCCCGCCGTCTCCTCCTTGGCTCCGGGGCCGGCACCGGGGACATGGCAGAAAGGACCCAGTCTGGGGCTGGAACAACCGGGACCCCGACCGGCACCGGGGATGCAGCAGGAAGGTCCGGGGCCCTGGCAGGGACCGGGGCTGGCACCGGGGCTACGGCAGGAAGGACCGGGGCAGGGACCGGGGAGAGGGCAGGAACGTCTGGGGCCCCGACAGAGACCGGGACCGGGACAGGCACCGGGGACACGGCTGGAAGGACCGGGACCGAGGCTGGAACCGGGGATACGGCAGGGACCGGGATCAGGGTCGGGGCCAGCGCAGGATGGAGCGGGGCCCCGGCAGCGGGACCGAGACCGGAGCGGCGGAAGCTGGGTGGGGGGCGGGGCCAGGGCGGTCGTGGGGGCGGAGTCACTTCAGGCCCCGCCTCCGCGGGGCCGAGCGCCACGCGGACCGGGCCCTGGCAGTGCCGGGGCCCTCGGCGCTCGTTCTGGGCTGTCCGCGGCGCCGCCTGCGCACGGGGCGGCCCCGCCGCGGGCCCGGGAGCGGCCCCGGCCGGTCCGACCGGCTCCGTCGTGCCCAGCGGCTAGGCCGCCGCCCCCTCCGGGTGATCTTCCGGCGCAACGGAGTGGGCGGCGGGGCGCGGCGGGGCAGGCGGCGCCGCGGGCAGCCCGGGGGCGGCAGGCGGCGAAGCGGGACGGGAGAGCGGCGCGGTACCGGGGGCTCGGGCAGGGGCGGGGGACGTGATCCTGGACGGGAGGGGGCTCTGGAGGTGACTCTGAGCTTGACCCTATAGGGGAGGGGGCTCTATAGGGGGCTCAGGGTTCGACTCTATAGGGGAAGGGATCTGTTTGGGGCTCAGGGATTGACTCTATAGGGGACTTTGGGCTCGACCCTATAGGGGAGGGGGCTATGTAGGTGGCTCAGGGATCGACCCTATAGGGGAGGGGGCTCTGTAGGGCACTTTGGGCTCGACTGTATAGGGGTGGGGGCTATGTAGGTGACTCTGAGCTTGACCCTATAGGAGAGGAGGTTCTGTATGGGACTTTGGGCTTGACCCTATATGGGAGGAGTTCTATAGGGGACTCTGAGCTCGACCCTATAGGGGAGGAGGTTCCATAGGTGACTCTGAGCTTGACCCTCTGAGGGGCCTCTGTAGGGGGCTCTGGGCTCAGCCTTTCGGTGGAGAGGTCCCAGTGGTGCCGGGGGGGGCCCTGCAGGGGATGGGGCTCAGTGGGGACCAGGAATGGGGGACAGCGCTGTGGACAAAGCCCTATAGAGAGCGGGGCTCTATAGGGGCTGGGGGTCCCGGGGAGGGGCCCTGCAGGGGATGGGGCTCAGTGGGGACCGGGAATGGGGGGCAGCGCTGTGGACAAAGCCCTATAGAGAGCGGGGCTCTATAGGGGCTGGGGGTCCCGGGGAGGGGCTGGGCGGGGGCTGGAGCTGCCCTTGCCTGCAGGTCGCCCAGCAGCGGAGCCGTGAGGATGAGGAGGGGTCCGATCCCGCCCGCGCTCAGCCTGGCCGTGACCTTGGCTGCGCTGCTGCCCACGGCCGGCGCCCGCCGGAGCCAGGACCTGCACTGCGGGGGTGAGCGCTGGGACGGGGAGCACAGGCTCCCTCACGACCTGTCTGCTGGCCGCACCAGTTACTCCCAGTGGCTTCGAGCAGCCACGGGTGTCTCAGTGCCAGGCGCTGAGGCGTGGGGCCAGGCGGTGCTGTTGGCTCTGGCCGCTGATGCCCACATCCCCCGCAGCGTGCCGGGCGCTGGTGGATGAGCTGGAGTGGGAGATTGCCCAGGTCGACCCCAGGAAAACCATCCAGATGGGCTCGTTCCGGATCAACCCTGACGGCAGCCAGTCGGTCGTGGAGGTGAGATCCCGGCAGGGATCTGCCTGCGGCAGAGGGTCCGGCCTGAGCAGGGGCAGCAGCCGCGTGTCAGAGACCAGGGGAGACGAGGGGGGGTCTGGACCCGTGCCAGGGGCTCTGGGTGAGCCCTGTCTCCCGTTCCTATCACCAGCGCGGCCCCACGGTGTTCCCGGGGTGTCCGTGGAGATGGTTGACCCTTCCTCGGTGCTCCCCGGCTCCTGGGGAGAGGCGCTGGCCCAGCGTTCCCGCTCCACTGTCACGCTCGAAGGCCTGACGGCGTGGATCTTGCTCGTGCCGCAGGTGCCCTACGCTCGGTCGGAGGCGCATCTGACGGAGCTGCTGGAGCGGGTGTGTGAGAAGATGAAGGAATACGGGGAAAAAGTGGATCCATCCACACACCGCAAGAGTTACATCCGGGTGATCTCCCACGATGGGACCAAGATGGACCTCTCCGGGGTCAAGATTGATGGAGACGTGGCTTCTAGCCTGAAGTTCGCGGTGCGTGTGGGGACTGGGTCCTCACAGCAGAGGTTTTGTGTGGTGGGACCCGCTGTGTCAGGCAGCCGCAGCCCTGCCAGGGCTGAACTGGTCCCACCAGCAGCGCCCAGCTGCTTCCCCCGGTCCTTTCTGGGGCTGGAGGGCAGGAGGCAGCTCCTGGGCTGGGGTAGGTGGGTGCGGGGCCCAGCTCTGGGCTCCCCTGGGTGCCATCGGCATCGTCTGCCACCACGTTGTTGCCGGCTGACCCCGCCGGCGGCTCCTGTTGCAGTGCGAGAGCATCGCCGAGGAGTACGAGGACGAACTCATCGAATTTCTCTCCCACGAGGCCGACAACGTCAAGGACCGGCTCTGCAGCAAGCGGACGGGTGAGCCGGGCTGTCGCACCCCGGGGAGGGGGCTCTGCTGCCCTGGGGGTCATCGCTGCTCCCTCAGCGCTGAGACAGGAGGAGCTGGCCCAGAGCAGGGAGGAGCTGCGAGGCCTCCTCGAAATCCCAACAGCCCTTAGCCCCCCTCATGCGGCCGGTGCCGGGGTGTGCTCCCTGCCCGGACCCCGCTGCCTGTGGCTTTTTTTGGATGCGCTGCCTGGGGCCGAGCCAGGGCAGCTGCCGCGGTGGCTCCAGCACAGGGCTCTCGGCATAGCCAATGGCCGCGCGCCCGCCCCGCGGCATCTCCCTTCCCACAGGGCTATTTCCAGCTCGCAAACACCGGGGTCAGGGCACGCCGCGACCTTTGTGCTTCCCTATTAATGAACGTGGCCCACGTTCGTTACCTGCGCCACAGGGCTGGGCCAGGGCGGGTCCCTTCTGTACCTGGCACACTCGTGGGGGGAAATGCTCCTGTCCTGGGGGTCCCCGGGGTGCTCAGCCTCCCCCCAGCTGGGCACCCACTGCCGGCCCTGGGGTGCTGGGTGGGTGCTGGACCTGGGGCTGGCATCTCTGTCCCAATGGCTACGTTTCTCATTAACCACCAAAGAAAGCGCAGGGGAAGCGTGGGTGTCCCAGGGGCGGGTCACGGCTGTCTCCGGCCGGTCCCCACACTGCGGGCAGGGAGGGATGCGTGGCTGGAGGGGGGTGGGTGTCCCCCGGGGCTCTGCCACAGCCTGAGACCACCGGCCTTTGTCACCACAGACCTGTGCGACCACGCGCTCCACATCCCACACGACGAGCTGTGATGCGGCCGGCGCCAGGCTCCGGCAGGACGTCCCCAACCTCACGGTTCGCCTCGTCCCCGCCGGGCCGGGCAGACGTGCCGGGGACAACCGCGGCTCTGGAGCTGACGCCGCCTCACCCAGTCTGGTGCTCTCATCCTATTTATTCACTGTCCGTCCGTCCGCCTCAGGGCCAGGGACAGCGGGACACCGGCCCTGCTCCCCGACAGGGCAGATGCGGGGTCCACGGCTGCATCCTCGCTCCTGCTGGGAGATTTCGGCGGGCGGGTGGCCACCCAGGGACCTTCTGCTGCTGTGGGCGGGGGACACGGGGGCTCAGCCACCCCCAGGGGGGCGGGGGGCTGGGGTGGCCAGTTTGGGGACCTCCCTCCCTGCTGCAGGCAATAAAGGGGCCGTGGCGGCTGCGCCACGTGCCCACCCGAGGGCAGGTCTCGCTCCTGTGCGTGGGGGGCCGGGTGTGGGGAAGGGGGGGCCCGGACCCCCGGCAGGGCTGGAGCCACGGGTGCAGCCCCATGTGTCCCCGCAGTGCCTTGAGCTCCCCTGTGTCACCCGGACACCGTGGGGGTCCTGTCCCACCCCAGGGGTCCTGTGTCTTTGGGGTTCCCATCTCCTTAGGGGCCCCGTGTCCTTGGGGTTCCTATTTCCTCAGGGTTCCCGTGTCTTTGGGTTTCCCGTCCGTTCCCGCCCCACCACCCCCCACCCCGGTGCCACAGCTGCCGCCCGTCCCCGAGGATGCCGGGTCAATGCCCTGGGGTCAGCGGGGACGGTCACACGCGGCCATGCCCCGCCCCTCCCCGATCCCAGGCCCCTGACGTCATCGCGGAGCCGGGGCAATGTCACAGGGCGACCTCGAGCCGCTGTGGCAGAGTGGGGGAATGACATCACGGACCCTGGTGACCTCATAGCACGTGGCAGAGCGCCCGGTGATGGCAGAGGGCAGCCCCGCACCTCAGCTGAGCAGCGCCAGGCCACAGACACGCCTGGTGGGGGTGTGCGTGTGGTGATGCAGGGACGTGATGTCACGCATTGCGGCCGGTGACGTCACGGGAGGGGGCGGGGCACCGCCTCACCCCACCCCGGGCCCGGATCAGGCGAACGCGGCGGCCACCTATAGCCCGGCCCCCCCTGCCCCGCTGACTCATTTGCCTATCCCCGCCCCGCGGCCCGCGGCGCAGCCAATGGCGAGCAGCTTGGCCCCGACGGGGCGGGGCAGGGCGGGGCTATGCTAATAACCAGCGCGGCGCCGCGCCCCGCCCCGCCCGCCGCGCTGAGGACCCCCGGCCGCCGCCGCCGCCGCCGCCGCCGCTCGCTCCGGCCCCGCGCCCGCTCCCGTTCCCGCTCCCGCCCGGCCCCGCTCCCGGCCCCGCTCCGTCCCGGCCCCGCCGCCGCCATGACGCTCCTCGCCGCCGGCAGCCGGGCGGCCGCGCGCCTCCGCGGGCCCAAGGTGAGGGCGCCCGCCCCGGCCCCGCCGCGCCTTAAAGGGGCGACGCCGCGGGGGGGCCAGCTCTTAAACGGGCGATGCGGGGGGGGGGGAAGGTGTGGGGGCGCTGTCTTAAAGGGGCCGCGCGGCGGGAGGCGCGGGGCCGCGGCGGCGGCGGCAGCAGCAGCAGCACGTGGTGGGCGCGGGTGCACCGGGAGCGCCCGTCACAACCGGCGGGGCGGGATGTGCCCCCCGTCGCGGCTCCTCTGGGGACGCCGGGGGGGTCGTCCCCCCCCCACTGGGAGTCTGCGGAGGGCGGGGGGGGGCTCCGATCCCGGCCCGCGCCTCGGGGGTCTCTGCCGTGGCTGCAGCCCCCGTCTGAGAGTCCGCGCCCCGTTGCAGCCCCCCATGGGGGGCTCATCGCCCACCCCGCTGTGGGGCTGTGCTGCAGCGCTGGGGCCGGGGGTCCCCAAGCCGGGGCCCGGGGGCTCCCACGGGGCATTGAGGGGCCGGGGGGTGGGGGTGGCCTTCCGCCGCCCCCTCGACCTTCCCCAGCGGCCCGGTGCTGTGGCGGGCAACGGGGTCACAGGGAGGGGACCCTCCGTGCGGCTCGGGGCTGTCCGGGGGGGGCCGGGGTGCCCCGGGGGGGGCCGAGCACCGGTGCAGGGCTGGGCCGGCCCGGGCCCCCCCCCCCTCGCCCGCTCGCCTTGGCCACGGCCCCGGCGTTTCGTAACGGCAGCTGCGGCATCTCTATCGACCGGGCATTATTTTGGGCGCTGGGGCCCGGCCCGGCGTGTTGTGGTGCCCCACTTGGCCCCGCTTGCCCGGGGGGGCCGCTGCCCCCGCTGCCGGGGCCACCCTGCCGGCTTGCGCCCTAATCCCGACCCGCCGCCTTCCTCCTCCTCCTCCTCCTCTCCGCGGCCTGAGCGAACGCACCGCGGCCCCGCCGCAGCCGGTGCTGCCCGGGGGGCTCCTGCACCCCCGAAGGTGCCACAGCGGCTGGGTCTGCCCCGGCCCCGTCCGCTGCCGCTTGGTGTCACCGCCGGGACCGGTGACCTTGAGCCAGCGGCACCTCGGTGACAGCCCGGCCGCGATGAGCCGTGCGGGTGCCCCGTTAACGGGGTGACACGGGGGGGCTGCGGGGGACCCGCGGCAGCGGCCGCCTTGACCTTGGGCTTCCTGCTGCCGCCTCCATTGTTCCCGCCGGCATTTTCCCTTCCCGGGTGCCGCCTGTTGCTGGGGGACACGGTGCAGCCACCCGGAACGGGCGATCGACTCCAGTCACGTTCGGGGTGTCAGGGTCTGTGTGTCCGTCCATCCCCTCCCCCCCCCCCCCCCCCCCCCCCGGCTGGGCTGGGGGGCTCACAGGGTGCTGAGCCAGCCGTGTGCGGGTCTGGGTGCTCGCTGCGGCGCTGCCCGCCGTCCCCCCCCCCCCGCGTCCCCCCCGGCAGCCAGTGGAAAAAGCGAGTCATGTTCTGCCTGTGCTGCAGGCGCTGCCGCAGCTCCGCGCCAGCCCCGGGGTCTCTGCCGGGGAGGACACAAGGTGCTGGGTGTAGATGCAGCAGTGGCCCTGTCCCCGGGCAGGCGTCTCCTGGTCCCATCTGTTCCCCCCCCCCCCCCCGCTGCTGCCCACCCGGGTGTTTGTGAGGGGGTTTGGGCGCGGGGAAGCCTTGTGTCCCCTCCACAGGCAGGGATGAGGGGCACTGCCAGACCCGGGCTTCCCGGCTGCGTCAGGGTGTTCCCGCCGGCCGGAGTCCCCGTGGGTGAGGAACAAAGATCGGTTTCCCCAGCGCCTGCCGAGCCCCAGTACAGGAAAACCGCAGCGGTGCCGGCCTGGCACCAGCTCACTCGTGCCGGCTGCTTCCGTGCTCCGCAGAGCAGGAAGCGAAACGCGGCTGCGTTCGCCGCCACCGGGTTTGCTGGGCTCTGCAGCCGTGGCTGGCGTCGCGCGGGATGCGAATGAGAGGGGTGCGGTGCTGAGGGGCCCCCCCCCCGCCGCACCCCCACCCGCGCCACCCGGCCCGGCTGAACCTGCCTGGCTCTGATCTCCAGCACGCGTGGGCGTGGGAAGCCACGGTGGCTGCCGGGCGCAGCGTCCTTGTGAGATGGGATCTCGCTGGAGTCACGGGGCGGCTCCTGCCGCAGGAGCTGTGCTGCGCTCCGGGGGGGGGGGGGAGTGGGGCTGGGGGACACTTGTGTGGATGCAGCCCCCCCGAAATGGTGCAGCTGGGGCACGTGGAGGGGCTCTCCCTGGGTAACGCCGAGTCCCCGTGTCTGCTCTCTTGCAGAACGCGCCGTGCGTCCTCTTTGCCGCCCGTCATGCCAGCGCTGCCACGGTAAGAGGAGCCCCCGCCGCTGTCGCCCCCTCTCCAGTGCCGCTGTGGGGAGCGGGTGCTCGGCCGTGGGTGCCAGGGCTCACGGCCCCCTCCCCTCTCCCCAGAACCTGAAAGACGTCCTCGCCACCATGATCCCCAAGGAACAGGCGAAAATCAAGAGCTTCAGGCAGCAGCACGGCAACACGGCCATCGGGCAGATCACGGTGGACATGGTGAGTGGGGGGGACGCCGCGCTGGGGCTGCCGGGCTGTGCCGCAGCCGGTAACCGCCCCCTCCCACCCTTCTCCAGGTGTACGGCGGGATGAGGGGCATGAAGGGGCTGATATATGAGACCTCCGTGCTGGATCCTGACGAGGTAGGGCCTGATCCTGCCCTGCTCGGGCACCCACTTCGTGTGGGCGATGCCGCAGCGGCTGACGCTCGTGCCGGGCTCTTTAGGGCATCCGCTTCCGCGGGTACAGCATCCCCGAGTGCCAGAAGCTGCTGCCCAAAGCTGCTGGGGGAGAGGAGCCGCTGCCCGAGGGGCTCTTCTGGCTGCTGGTGACAGGAGAGGTGCCCACCCAGGAGCAGGTACGGTGGAGAGGGGTCTGGCAGGGGGTGGGTGCTGCTGGCCCCCTGCCCTCCAGCTCAGCCCCCCCGTGCCCCCCCCGCAGGTGAGCTGGCTGTCCCGGGAGTGGGCCCGGCGCGCCGCGCTGCCCTCCCACGTGGTGACCATGCTGGACAACTTCCCCACCAACCTGCACCCCATGTCCCAGCTGAGCGCCGCCATCACCGCCCTCAACAGCGAGAGCAAGTTTGCTCGCGCCTACGCCGAGGGCATCCACCGCATCAAGTACTGGGAGGTACGGGGAGGGGTCGGGGGGACACTGGGCACCTTGGTGGGGTGTGGGGGGGGGCGCTCAGCCACCCCGACTCTTGGGATGGGGCACGGGTTTGGGTGCGGGGGGGGGTCAGCCCTATCTTACCTGTCTTGTCCCAGTTTGTCTATGAGGACGCCATGGACCTGATCGCCAAGCTGCCTTGCGTCGCCGCAAAGATCTACCGCAACCTGTACCGCGAGGGCAGCAGCATCGGGGCCATCGACCCCAACCTCGACTGGTCCCACAACTTCACCAACATGCTGGGCTACACCGACCCCCAGTTCATCGAGCTGATGCGGCTCTACCTCACCATCCACAGGTACGGGGCCGGGAGGAGCCGCCGGAGCTGGTGGGGATCCCACCCCCCGGGGCCAGGGACGTGCCCGGGATGCTCTGGGGTGTCGCTGGGCACCCCCAGGGCAGGGCCATGCCAGGCTGGGAACATCCCAGGAATGGGGTGTTGACTGTGGGGGTGTCCAGGGGCCCCAGTGGGGACGGGGTGGGGACCTGACGTGCCCCCTCTCCCCTGCAGTGACCACGAGGGGGGAAACGTGAGCGCCCACACCAGCCACCTGGTCGGCAGCGCCCTGTCCGACCCGTACCTCGCCTTCGCCGCTGCCATGAACGGGCTGGCCGGGCCGCTGCACGGCCTCGCCAACCAGGTGTGTTCCTCCCTGTGTTTGTCCATCCATGAATCTGTCTGTCTGTCCGCGTGCCGCTGTTCTCACCACCCCGCTTGCCGTGCCCGCAGGAGGTGCTGCTCTGGTTGACCAACCTGCAGAAGGAGCTGGGCCAGGAGGTCTCGGATGAGAAGCTGCGGGATTTCATCTGGAACACGCTCAACTCGGGCAGGGTGAGTCTGGCTCGGCGAGGGCGAGCACCGGGGGGACTGGGGGCTGTGCCGGGGCTGGGCTCTGACCCCCCCCCCCCCCCCGATGTCCTCGCAGGTGGTCCCGGGGTACGGGCACGCAGTGCTGCGGAAGACGGACCCCCGCTACACCTGCCAGCGGGAGTTCGCCCTCAAGCACCTGCCCCAGGACCCCATGTTCAAGCTGGTGGCCCAGCTCTACAAGATTGTCCCCAACGTGCTGCTGGAGCAGGGCAAGGCCAAGAACCCCTGGCCCAACGTGGACGCCCACAGTGGGGTGCTGCTGCAGGTGAGCCCGGGGGTCCTGGGTGCCCCCTCCCACGGGGCCGCCCTGCCCTAACGCCCCTCTCCCCCCGCAGTATTACGGGATGAAGGAGATGAACTACTACACGGTGCTCTTCGGGGTCTCCCGGGCCCTGGGGGTCCTGGCGCAGCTCGTCTGGAGCCGGGCGCTGGGTTTCCCCCTGGAGAGACCCAAGTCCATGAGCACGAAGGGTCTCATGCAGCTTGTGGGCTACAAATCTGGGTAAAGAAGGGACGGGGACGGGGCTGCGGCTCGCTGCTCCCCAGGGAACGCTGCCGGGCTGGGCCCCGGACGCACTCGGCACTGAACCCCCCTCGGGCACCGGCCGTGGGGCTCCCGGGGTGCGAGCGGAGCCCCCCTGCCCCCCACCACTCCTCTCCCCTCCCTGCTGCTCTGGGAGGGGGCAGAGGCAGCCCCGGGGTCCCCCCTGCCCAGGCTCTCCCCATCCCGGAGTCCCCTCCCTGGCTCTAAGGCGGAGGGGCTCCTGCACCCCCCACCCCCCCCCAGCAGCACCACGCACACTGGGAGCCCCTCCGGCTCCCCCGCTGCTGGGGGGGGGGTGGGGTGTGACACTGGGGATACCCCCCTGCTGCAGCCGAACGCCCCCTCCCCAAGAGGGGTTCAGTCCAGACTAGTGTCCAGGTCCCCCCCGCCCCACACGGGGCAGCGGGTGAAGAATGAATGTCTCACCCCCCCCCAGCAGGGACTCGATACACTCCTCCCCAGCCCATGCCCCGTGTTTGTGTGACCCCCCCCCCCCCGTGTCCGATGCCCCCGGCAGCCGGAGCCGGCCCCCCTCCCCCCTGCCCATTCCTCCCCCCGCCGGCCCCGGCCCCTCGCAGGTATCAGGCACTTCTGTACAAACAACGACAAAATGCAAAATAAATGTTTTTATTAACAAACCCGGTGCCTCTGTCCCTGGCTCTGGGTGCAGAGGCAGGACCCACCCCACCCCCCCACCCCGGCTCCGCTTTGCTCCTGTGGGATTTGGGGGGGTCAGGTGATGGTGCCCCCACCCCACCCGGGGCTGCCCCAGGCCCCTGTTCCGGCTCTGTTGGGGCCCCTCAGCAGCAGCGGCTGCAGGTATCAGCCTAGTTTGGGGGCTGGGGGGGGGTCTCAGTGTGCAGCACCCCCCGGCCTCCCCCCCTGCCCTGGCCTCCCTCTCCCGTGGCTGCTGAATGAGGACGAGGAGGCTGCTCATCCTTGGAAAATGCTTTTATTGGCCTGTAAGGGCCCGTCCTCTGGCAGCAAGGCTGGGGTGCCCTCGCTGAGGGGGGGTGGCTGTTTGGGGACCCCCCTGCCCGCCCCCTCCCCGGGTGGGTGTTTAGGCCTGGTGGAGCAGGAGCCCCCCCCCCACCCCCTGCAGCAGGTGAGGAAAGGCAAGCTAGAACCAGAGGAATGCCTGGGGGGCACAAGCTGCCCCATGTGTGTCCCCCCCTGCCCCGTGCGTGTGACTTGTGCAAACTGTGCGAGGTGGGGGCTGGCGGTGGGGCGGGCGCTGCTGGGGGTCTCTCAGCTCCAGTGCCCGGGCGAGGCGGTTCCTCCCTGCGCCCTTCTCCTTCCTTTTTGTTCCTGGACGAGCTGGGGGCTCCATCAGCCGGGCCCCCCGCCCTGGCTGCTTGCTGCCTCTCTCCCTCGCAATCCCTGGCTGGGCCCCCCCCACCAGCGAACACCCACCCTCCTCCCACTCTCCCCAAGCGAGGTGGTGGGGCCCAGGCACTTGCTGAGGACTCAAAAGGAACAAAAGTGAGGATAAAAAAAAAAATAAAATAAAATAAAAGCTCCCAAGAACAAAACCAAAACTTAAAACCAAAATTAGCTACACAACCAGGGAGTCCAGCACTGGGACGCAGCTCCCGCAGCGTGGCGGTGGGGCCGGGGGCTCACGGCAGCCCCCGCGCTCGCAGGAGCGTCACCTCTCACCCCCAGGGTTGGGGGGGGGGAAGTCGAGGCAACGGCAGCAGAGATGCACTCAAATAAATATTTTGGCGGGTGGGTGCGGGGCGGGCAGCCCCGGGGCCCTGGCACAGTCCGTGGTGGCCGGGCCGCCCTCACGTCTGGTGAACCTCGTGGAACATGAGCTCCCGGGGGATGCGGGTCTCGGGACCGAAGTTCTTGGCCGCCCGGCGCTCGAAGGCTGCCACCATCTGCTTGACCACCTCGTCGAAGAAGACGGTGGCCAGCTGAGAGTGCAGCAGGGAGCGAAACTCGAAGGAGATCTGAGGGGGAGAGCGGGCGGGTCAGCCCCCGGCGGGGTCTCCGCGGTGGGCAGCCTCTCCCCCGCGCCCGGGGCAGGGTCTTACCGAGAAATCCACGGTGCTGGTGCGGGGGTAGCCGGGGATGCCGGGGCTGAAACGCCAATTCGTCTCCAGGTGGTTGAAGAGGCGCCCGTCCGTGCAGACGGCCTGGAGGGGGGGGGGGGGGGCGGGGAGTGGCCAGTCAGGGGGGGCCCGAGGAGCTGCCGGGGTGGCCCCCCCGCCGCGCCGGGGCCGCGCTCACCTTGACGAGATGGGGGCGGACGAGGGTGACGATGGAGGTGTAGCGCTCCACCACGGGCGGGAAGCCCACCTCCAGCTGAGCCTTGACGTGACCCGTGCGCCTGGAGACCACCACCGACTTCTTGCACCAGGGCACGAAGTTCTTGTAGTCCTCCACGTTGGAGACCACGTCGTACATCTCCTGCATGGAGTACCTGGGGGCAGAGCGGGCGTTGAGCCGGTGCCGGGGGGGGGGGGATCCCAGCACGCTGGGGGAGCTGCCGGCACCTACCCGATGATGCGCCGCTCCGAGTACTCCTTCCGCTTGTTGGTGAGGTTGAGGAAGGAGCGGCTGGGCTGCGCCCGGGGCTCCCACGCTGCGCCGTTCGCCGGCCGGCCGAGCCGGCTGAGCCGCAGCCCGCACAGCGCCGTGTGCCTGGGCGGGAAACGGGGCCTTAGCGGAGGGACCGGGAGTGGGTGCGACCCCCCTCCCCAGCACAGCCGCAACGCTGGGCCCCCTCCGGACCTACCCACGTCCCTCCTGGGATGGGAACTGACCCCACGGCGGGTGTTGGGGGGGGGGGGGGGGGTGGGATCAGAGATCCCAGCCCTCCTGCCCTGGGGAAGTCCGAGCGCCGGTGCCAGGGCTGCTGTTGCGCAAGAGGAGGAAGGCCGGGGAAACCTGACCCCGGGGACACCTAATCCGGAGCGGGGACAACTGCCCGTTACCCCTCGCTGCCTCTCCCCGGCACCGAGCCCTGGGCAGCCCAGAGCTTCTCCCCCTTCCCTCCCCGGCCCAGCCCGCGGGTGCCGCTGTGACCGGTGAGGACCCTGGGGGGGACCCCGGGGCTCGGTTGGCCGTGGGGCAGGGCTGGCCCCAGCGGGCTCCCCCCTGGACCGCCGGCACTGGCAGCGCTCCGTGCCCACGGGACAGCGTGGGTATTTTTAGATCCCGGGCAGGTCACCCCGGCTCTCCTCCAGGTCGGTCCCGCTTCCCCCAGCAGCCACAGGACGTCCCTGCGCCGAGCGGGGTCACCCGGGGTGTCCGGCAGCCCCTGAGCTCCCGGAACAGCCGGGGGGAGCTGCCGGGGGTCTCCGGGAGCGCTGGGACCGTGCCACCGGCCCCCCGCCGCGGTGCTCCCGGCTCCTGTCCCCACCGGCGGCGGGGCTGGCGGGACCCACCCGGTCCCTGGGCTGGTGGGGGGGTTAGCGCCCGCGGGGGACGCGCCGGGAGTGGCCTGGGGTCTCTCTGCCCGCTGTCGCCCGGTGCAACCGACGAGGCTCCGGGCCCCGTGGATGGTGTCGGCGCCGGCCCGGCCGTTGTGCCCCGCGGCCCCGCCCGGGGGTCGCCCCCGCCGCCCCCCCCCGCAGGGTTTGCCCCAAGGTCAGGCCCCGGGCCCCCCCGCTCTCGCCCTTCGCCGGCGGCCCCCGGGGCACCGGCGCCGCCCCCGCCAGTGTCCTCCCGCTGTTCCCAAGGTCCCCCCGGGCGAACCGGGGAGCGCGGCCCGCTCGCCCCGCGGGGGTGTCCCCAGGCCCGCCCGGCCCCCCCAGGCGCGAACGCCCCCCGGGGCCCGCTCCCCCCCGCCCCGGTGCCGCCGCCCCGGTGCCGCTCACCTGCCGGGCGGGGCCGCCGCGGCCCGCAGCCGCTGCCGCGCCCCGAGCTGGAAGGCGCCGCGGAGCCGTCGGGCAGCCATGACCGGGGACGGGACGCGGCTCCGCCGCCGCCGCACCGGGACCGGGACCAGGACCGGGGCCGCCGCCGTGACCTCTCACCCTGCCCGCGACGTCACCGCGTCGCCATAGAGCCCGCTGGCGTCACGGCCTCGGGGGTGGGGCGGGGCACCGCCTCCCGCGCGGGGCACGACGGGAGTTGTAGTCCAGAGGAGCGCAGGGGACGACGGGAAGTGTAGTCCCGGGCGGGCCTGCGGCCTCCCCGTGGTCCCGCGTCCCGCCCGCCTGGGGGATCCCGGCGGGCAGTACCGGCGCCGGTGGCGCTCCCCGGTCCCGCCGCTGTCGTGGCTCCCGTCTCCCCGGCAGAAACGCCCGTGGCGGCTCGCGGGCCCCGTCGCCTCGCCTCGGCTCCCCGGTTGGCCGACAGCCGGCTGTCGGCGGGACCGAGCACATGTTCAAAACGGCCCCGGCAGGCCCGTCCCCCTCCTTCGAACGCGGCGGAGCGGTGCCGCCCTGCGTGTCGGCGCTCCGCACGCCGAGGGCCGCGGGTCCCGGCTGCCGGGCCCCCTCGCCTGCCCGTGCTCCGGGTGGAGCGGGGGGCAACAGGCGCGGGACTGCCCGTGGGCGGCGGGAGCTGCCGTGGGCTCCCCGGTTTGACACCGTTCCCCGGCGAGGGACGGAGACAACGACGCCGGGAGCGATTGGGGCGCGGTGGAAGCCACGGGTTGACCCCGGGAGTGGGACGCGTGGTCCTGCACCGCGGGCGCGGCGAGGGGTTGAGCTCCGGTACCGGCACCGGGCTGCCCCGGGCCACGGCGGGAAGGGGGTGGTGGGCGCGTCGCTGCCATCGACGCCCCGGTACCGGAGATGGCTGGACGGTGCCAGCCCGGCGCGGGGCACAGCTCCTGCCGGGCGTCCCGCTGCCGCGGTGCGATGCTCGCCGCGGGGGAGCGACCCGCGGATCCGGCGGGACCCCCCCCCCCCCCTCGCCGCCCTCCCCGGGGGGCCCGGGGCCGCCCTCCCACCGGCCCCGCGGGGGTTCCCGGCCCCCGCTCCCCGCCAGCCGCTCCGCGGGCCCCGGCGATGGCGGCCGACGGCGGCGCTGCGGCCCGGCGGCGGCGGCGGCGGCGGCCGCTCCCCGGGCGGTGGGCGGGCCCAGCCGCTCCCCGCCCCGCCAGCCGCCCGAGCGGAGCCGCCGCGGCCGGAGCCCGATGCCGGGAGCTGGGCGCTGAGGGCGGCCCCGAGATGGGGATTCTCAGCATCACGGACCAGGTACCGCCGCCGCGCCCGCTCGCCGCCCCCCCGCGCCGCGCCCGGCCGCCCCGCCACGCCAGCCCGGGGATGCGCGGCCTAGTGCGCGCCGCTCCGCCGCCGGGCCCGGCCCAGCCGCCGCCCCAGGCCGCGGCCCCCGGCCCGCTCCCACCCGTCGCCGGGGGCCCCCCCGCGCCGCCCCGGCCCGGCCCCTGCGCGGGGTCCGCCGCGCTCCGCTCCGCTCCGGGCTCGGCGGCCGGGCCCTCCGGGGCCAGGACCCTCGCGACGGGACCCCGGCCGCCCCGCGGCGGCTGCGCCTCCCGCTGCCGCCCCCGCCGTATCCCCAGCGGGTTTTGGGGCGGCTCTGGGGTGCAGGGTGACCCCATCGGGTTTTGGGGATGGCCCTTCGGTGCAGGGTGACCCCCGCGTGGTTTTGGGGCGGCCCTGGGGTACAGGGTGACCCCAGCACGGTTTTGGGGACGGCCCTCGGGTACAGGTTGTCCCCGTCGGGTTTGCAGGACCGCTCTGGGGTGCGGGGTGACCCCATCGGGTTTTGGGGATGGCTCTTCAGTGCAGGGTGACCCCAGCACGGTTTTGGGGCAGCCCTGGGGTACAGGGTGTCCTCACCGGGTTTTGGGGATGGCCCTGGGGTGCACGGTGACCCCAGCATGGTTTTGGGCTTGGCTCTAGCGTGCGGGGTGACCCCACTGGGTCTTGGGGATGGCCCTGGGGTACAGGGTGTCCCCACTGGGTTTTGGGGATGGCCCTTTGGTGCAGGGTGACCCCAGCACGGTTTTAGGGCAGCCCTGGGGTGGAAGCGTGTCCCTAGTACGGTTTTGGGGCAGCCTTGGGGTGCAAGGGTGTCCACATCGGGTTTTGGGAACAACCCTGGGGTGCAGGGTGTCCCCACTGGGTTTTGGGGACAGCCCTGGGGTGCAGGGTGACCCCATCACGGTTTTGGGGTGCAGGGTGTCTCTCTCAGTAGCCCCCACCCCGGTGCGTGGCCCTCGCCCAGCTCCCAGCCCTGCCCGTCGCAGGGTCTCGGCTGGGACCCCCGTTCCTGAGCAGCCCCCTCCTCCGGCAGCACCGACGCTGCTGCTCGTGGCCCTGCTTCCTCGGGCTCCACATCCAAACCCCGTCCCCGGAGCGGTGGCCCCCCATGTCTCCTTGGACGTCTGCTCTTCCCTGCACGTTTTACATAAACTGCCTTTATTCCTTTATTCACCTTGATTTTGGAGATCGGGTCTGCTGGCCCCTTGAAACCAAATATTTAAGCCTTTCCCTCGGCTCCTGCGGTATCATTAATATAGTGAGTGTTTAAAGGCAGGCAGGGTGGGTGAAGGAGGGGAGGGGTGAGGATGAGGGATTGATCTGTGATTTAAATAGAACTTTTTTTTTTTTTTTTTTTTTTGGTAACCAAAACATTTAGCTTTCCCTGTGAATGGTGGGTGGGTGTGTCAGACCCAGCACTGCTGCAAACCGCGCGCCACTGAAGACTGCTCAGGGCATAATTATCGTCTGTGATTCTTTCTTTTTTTTTTTTTTTTTTTTAAAAACACCATTTTTTTTTTTAATGTCTAACGAGTGATGCTGAGTCTGCTGCATTCCAGGGGAATGACTCACGCGTTCCCTCTGACCCGGGATGTGTTCCCCGTGTTTAACTGCTTTTACTTTGATGGTAGGGTCAGCAAATGAGTGTGAGGTTGGCTGGGCAGCAGGGATGAGAAGGAATTGCCTTGAAAATGAAGCTCCGTTGTTCCTCCGAGAGGTCAAGATAAGAGGGGCTCGCTGATTTTGACAGTTAGATCCAGCTTTAGGCGCGTGGGCAGGCTGGAGGGGGGTGTGCTGGGGCTGCCAGGCTCGCTCAGGGTCGCAGCGCTCTGGACTTGCCGTGCGAAAAGCAGCAGAGGCTCGGCCGGCCGGAGCAGGGAAGTGTCGGGTTTGGCGATGATCGTGGGGTGCCAAGTGCTGAACGGACCCAGAACCTCCTGTGTGAAAATGGTGTTTTGAGGCCTGTGAAACAAGAAGTGGGGTGCAGGGCTCCCGGGCGATGCCCCAAGGTTGGGCAGCGCCTGACCCACCGACCTGCTCCGCCGCACAAACGGCTCCGGCAGCTCAGGCTGTCGGTTCTGCCGCCCACGGCGCCGGCTGGCTCTGTGACCTGGGCTGTGGCTCTGCTCCTGGTTTTTACCGAGGTCTGCTAGGTAACTTCTCTGAGATGTGGGCAGCAGGAAAGAGGAGGAGTGCTGGGCTGGGCTTTGCCAGGCTCTTTGCGCCATCGGAGCCAGCGTAGTGTTGTAGGTGTTTCTCAAAAGGTAGAAGAGCAGGAGTAAGCACACGGCCTTCTACAGGGGAGCGTGAGGCATCACCTCCTTGTGCCTCGGGAAACCTGATTCACTGTCTGCAAAGATCTGTCTCGTACAGGGAGACTTCAGCCAGCTCAGAGGGAGGATTTTCTGACTGTGGCTAAAGCTTTGGGTAGCAGGAGCTGGACCTGCCTTTCCGTGGTCGGGTGCTGTGCACGGAGAGCGAAGCTGTGCCATGGGTGCGTGCTGGGGGCTCTGCAGCTGGGCTGCCAGGGCCGTGATCAGCGCTGCTTCTTGGGCTCGGGAAACGGGGAGGCTTTTCCAATGATTCCTTAGTCTGTTCACCAACGGACAACCAAGAAAAGCACCTTTGGTGGCTTGAAAATTGGTCCCTGGTGCTGACTGAGCCACGGACGCGAGGAAGCTGCTGGGTGCTGGTGGTGGGCTGGGCTCTGGCAGCAGCAGGCACAGGGGGCTCGTTTGTGGAGCGAGGTCCTGGCCAAATCAGGCTGGTGTGAAGTCTCTGATGTGCTGTCACGCTGCCCGTTCTCCTCCCTCTTGTGTCTTCCGCGTGGTGCCACCTTCACAACTTGCTTCTCTTTTTCTTTGTAGCCTCCTCTGGTCCAAGCCATCTTCAACCGCGATATAGAGGAGGTGCGGTCATTGCTGAATCAGAAGGAAAACATTAATGTACTGGTGAGTGCTGCCTGGTTGTGCTCCCCTTCCTTCACCCAGCTCTCCCTGTTTCCTTCCCGGCAGCGCGGTTCTTTAGCAGAGGGGAGGGCAGAGGCTCAGCAGGTGAGAGGTGGGTGCTGTCGAGGGCAGGGGACTTTTTGGTGAGGATGGTCAGAGCTGGGTTTTTGAAACAAAGATTTCTGGATTCTGCTCCTGGCTTGGCCGCCATTTGCTGTGCAGCTTTGTCCTGGTGCCTTGATCTTGCCATCTGTAAAATGGGGTGTGTGGAAGACCAGGACTCCCACCCCTCCCCAGGAGAGGGTGAGAGCCTCCTAAAGCTCTCAGCCGTGCAGAGCATAGCTGAGAGGCTGTGGGGTGTGGGGGAGGGCTTTTCACGGAGGATCAGCTTTGCTGCCTTGTCAGTTTACCTTTTTCTCCTTTGGTGTAGAGACCCAAAATAGTTTGGTCTGAACGCAGCAGGTCTGGCTTGTGATGAGGTTGTTCCCCAAGGGGGGGAAGGAGGACTTGAGGTGCTCAGCAAAGCCAGGTTCCCCTCACAGGTGTTCAGAGGGGTTTCCACTGTGCTCCTGTGAAGCCTGATGGCAGAGGGTAGTTTTGATGCTCGTCCCAGAGCGGGCGGGGAGGCCGGGCGTTCGGACACATCCCTCCGGGTCCCGCGAGTGGCCAGGCTGGCTCCTGGGGGAGCAGCCCTCGGTAGCCCCAGTCTGACGATGACCAGCGTGATCCGTCCTCACGTGGAGTGTGGGGACCAGGCTCCAGCGAGGGAAGGGGTGAAACCTGCCTGTGAGAGTTCCCATCCGACCTGTCAGCGTGCCTTCCCTTGATCCGGTTTACGAGCTTCCCGCTAACAAATCAGCGGCAGATGCGCAGATAAGAAGCGCAGGCTGCACCAGCCCGGTCCGCCTGACGTGGTGGCACAGTTGGACAGCTGCCGGGTCAGCAGTTCCTGCTCTTTCAGCCCAAAAGCTGGGCTAAGTTGTGAGCTTGAGGCAAGAGCAGCCTGTTCTGGTTCGCCGTCTCCTCTGAGCTGTGGCATTAACCGGGGGCTCCAGTCCATGGTGCTCCCAGCCATGCCGCAGGCAGCTGCTGGCTTTTTGGCACGCTCCTACTCGTTTCGCTGAGTTCTTCATCAGGGCGTTCTCCCGACCTGGCCTGTGGAGCCAGGGCCGGTGAGCACCCCGATCCTCGTGGTGTTAAACCCCGAGGTCAAGGGCGGGCGCCGCAGACGCTGGCCGGCGGCCCGGGAAGGTGAGGGCGGCCCTGCGCCGGTGCCCGTGTGCCAGCAGGACGAACGATCCGATCGTATCTTTGCTTATTACACAGAGATAGCGTGGGGATTTTTTTCCATGACTGGTTAGGTTGGGAACCCGTCAGCTCTTCGTCCTCTGTTGTCAGGAGAGAGGGTTGGGATTGTTTTGCTGAGCTCTCGTGCAGCTGCTGAAGGAATAAAACCACAATTGTTAACACTTAATTTCCTTTTTATGTGCAGGTTTAGAAATGTTGTTGCTTGTTCAGTGACCCGCCAGCTGGGTTTCACTTTCACATCCTCCTGCCTGGTTGTGCCAGCACAAGTTGTTACCAAAAAAAAAAAAAAAAAAAGAAACCACCACCATTTTGCAAACAGTTTTTAACCTAATGAAAAACAATTACCTATTTTTCCACAAAATCTGGGGCTTGAAATGAGTTGTGCTCCTCTGGCTTTCTACTCATTTGCTTCCTGGCTTTAGTACACAGCATGTTCTCTGAGGAAAGCCTGAACCACATGCTTGGAGGCAGAGGCAGAGGTTACCCAGGGCCTGGCCCTGAGTAAACAGAAGTGAAAGGTATTTTTTTTCTTGGGCTAATCCCATCTAAGATCAGAGAGGGGCTTCTGCACCCTCCTGGCCTTCAGCAGCCAGCAGGTCTGAACCTTGTTTCGGAGCTGTCTGTAATTCTGAGTGTTTTTTATTGTTGGCCGAGGGGATAAAAGCATGCAGAATGGGACAGCCTGTGCACTGTCAGAGCGCGGCCAGGCTTTCATCTCGCATTGCAGAGAGCTTTGCAGATGTTCATTAAACCCAGCAGCACCACAGCCAGGTCGGGTCGGACTCTGGGGAGTCGGTGGGGGGGATGAAATGAATGGCTGGGGCTCTCACAGCCTCCCTGGCTCGTGCTGGACTTATGGCCCAGGTGCCCTCTGCGCCGGTCACCGGGTACCCCCCAGCACCCGCAGAGCTCTCAGAGCGCTGTGCACCCCCGCAGCGCTGCAGGAGGGTGCTGGGTTTAAGCAGTTTTTCCCCCTGTCCCGCGTCCCGAGGTGCTGCACATGCTTACAGGAGGTGTTGGGGGCAGACTGGAGCGGAGGAGGGATCTCCCAGCCCTCCAAGCTCACAGACGGTTTTTGTTTCTTACATCCCTGCTCAGGACCAAGAAAGACGAACGCCGCTGCATGCTGCTGCCTACATAGGAGATGTTGCAATCCTTGAGCTCCTAATACTGTCAGGTAAGGGCTGTGGCTCAGGGCGCTTGGCTCGAGTGCTGGCGCTGCCTTTAAGGCATCTTTCTGATCTCCTCTGGCTTTAGGGGTGCAGAGCAACAGTTTTTGGTCACCCTCCAAGCAGCCGTGTGCTCATGCTTAAGCTGGTGGGGTTGCAGCCAGGGGAAGATTAGGAAATGCTGCCATAATCCTAAGAGGTTTGTTCAGACAGAGCTGTGTCTTGGAACTGAAATAGCAGAGGTGGAAACCAAGCCAGGAGGGGGATGTGTGGAAGGTGTGCAGCGTTAGAAAGAGCTACTGGAGGAGGGGGCAGTGTGGGGATGCACGCCTCAGCAGGACACTCAGGGGAGCAGCGTTTCGCTTGCTTGTGGAGAGGGGTTAGCTGAAAACCAGGGGAGTTTGCTCGGTTTTGGCTTGTGTTACTTGGCATAAAGCTGCCCGTCGTTTCCCTCCAGAGACGCTCAGCCCTGTGCTTGGGTCCTGCGCCTGCACGGCGCAGACGGGAGGCTCCTTGCCCGCTGTTTGCCGGCGCAGCGCCTTGGGGCACCGTGGGCTTCGCAGCTGCTTGCTGCTGGTGTGGGGGAACCCCGAGGCTGGCATGATCCTACGTGACCCTGACGAGGAGAGACGTGGGGAAATCCTTTGCTGAGGGCTTGTTAAACAGGATTGGGGATGCTCAGCTCTGTCTGCAGAGCATGGGATGCCCTTATGTGCCCTCTGTTGATTTTTTTCATGCCTGTGTGTTGAGTTCTCAGCAGGAAAGAAAGGCATGGGCTTCGGTGGTCCTGGCACCTAAGTGCCTAGCATAGATCTGGAGGTGAGATGGCAGTAATCTGTCCTCTTTCCTTTCTAATATGGAGATGCAGCCCACAGCGACCACAGCTCCCAACATGAAATACTCCCTTTTTTTGTCTCAAATGGCCTTGTTTTAAAGCAAGGAGTAGAACTGCTTGCTGGGTCTTTGCTGTGTTTTTTTTGGCTCCGTGGGGAAGCTGGCACTCAGGGAAATGTAGTCTCTTCAGTCTCCCGAGGGATGTAGCTTGTTCCTCTTGCAGTTCACAGGGTCTGTCTTCACGTGGAGCTCAGTGCAGGGTCCCCTCTTGCAGCAGAAGTGGCAGTGTCATTCAGTGGGTGCCTCCGAGGTAGCTGCAGACCTGCCCTGAGACTCTGGAGCGGGGGCAGCCAGTCACCTCTCTGTCCCCTGACCCCTCCTTTTGTTCTTCCTCAGGTGCTAACGTTAACGCAAAGGACACTGTTTGGCTTACCCCATTACACCGCGCTGCGGCTTCTCGTAACGAAGTAAGTTCCCTCTGAGGTGTCCTCTGGCTCTGTCTTTTCCCTGCATGGGGTGGTGGGTGCTGGTGGGAGTAGGGGACCGTGTTTCTCCTCTTTTCCATCTTGCCTGGTTTTGGCTGAGGTGGGTGGTCTCGTTAGAGGAGAGGGGGGATGAATGCATCATTCAGAGGCTGAAAATGAGAACTGGAAAAAAAATCTCCTTGATTCCCTTTCCTACATCCTTCGGGAGTTAGCACATAGGTTTTCCCCACAACTTCCTCCTTCACTGCCTTTCCTCCTTCCCCAGGGCTTTGTCTAATCCAGCTTTACATTTCTTTGAGGGATGATGGGGCTCTCACCCTTTCTCTGAGAAGCTGGTTCCAACAGATCTTGTTGGAGAGATTTCCTGACGTTTATAGCTTTTGTGGGCTTAACTTCATCCCACTTAACTTTGTCCTGTTTTGAGTTGCTGGAGAGCAAGAAACTCTGTGGTCATGTTGGTTGGAGCCAGAGGATCAGAAGCCCTGACTCTGACATGCAGGGCAAGTTACCACACATCGGCTGGCTGCATGAATTCTCTTAATCGGCAGCAGACATGGGACGAAACACATTAGTGTAAACCTCTACTGAAGGCGTTTGCTGTGAACATGTGTGGACAGTTCCCGTGGGTCGCTAAAATACAGGAGCTCGGCAAGCCGAGACTGTTCTGCTGTCAGGTCTGAAGTGCTGTTTGTCTCCAAATCTGAGCAGGCTCGTTTGCTTCTCTGCCTCGGCTCAGACGTGCTTGGGGAGCCACCTCCCTCGTCTGTTCTTCCCTGGGGTGCTTGGCAAAGGGCTCTGCCAGTGCCCTGCATGCCCAGCTCCCGAGAGGAGCCTTCCCGAAATGCCTGTGCGCTTCACGGCTTTTCCTGCCTGGAGCCTGCTCTCTGGGATCTCTGGGTTTATGCACTGCCCGGCCATTTCATGTGCTTCTCCCAGGCAGGAGCAGCATCAGCCAGCCCTGGGAGCTAAGAGCAGAGCAGAGAGCTGTGGGGCTGGGATGGGTGGGAGTGCTGCCCCGATGCCACATGGAAGTGGGCAGCCTGCAAACCACAGCAGGGAAAACGTGGGGTTGCAGCAAACAGCCTCTACCAGCACAAGGGGGAAAATCATTATCAAATATAGGTCAGTGGGTCACATTTGTCATCCCCCGGGCGCTTCGCACCTCGTGTGTCATGGAGGAACACTCACTTGCAGTTAAATCACGTGGCTCAGAGGTGTTTCTCCCGTGCCGGTACCCCCGTGGAGCCACGTTTTACAGCTGCACTCGGGTGGGATGAGCCCAGCTCATTCAGGTCCCACCCACTGAACTCCAGCCTGGAAGGAGCTGGAGCACCCCAGGTGAGGGCTGGAGGATTTCCGTAGGGAAGATTCCTTCTCACTGCTTGGAGTCTCTCTCAAGCTGTCTTTACCTCTCACCCTTTCTCTGTGATAACATCCTGAAAGACAGCCATATGTGGGCTTCAGAATGTCATCAGGGACAGGAAAACAAACAAGTCCTTCCATTTGACAGAGTGGGGAGAAGCCGTTGCTTTTGAGTGCGCAGCACAGTTTGGGCTCAGCCCCGCAAGGGCAGCTTCGGCTCTCGGGGCTGGTGTGGATCTGGGCAGCCCTGTGTGTGCTGAAAGCACGAGGTGGGCTGAGCTGCAGCTTCCCCCAACCAGCTGGAGGGCTTCTGCAGGCTCCAGCAGGTTGGGTTAGAGCTCTGCTTTCCTCTGCTCCTGCTAGAAGGCACTTCACCTCCTCCTGAAGCACTCAGCAGACGTCAATGCCCGCGACAAGTATTGGCAAACGCCTCTGCACGTCGCCGCTGCCAACCGGGCCACCAAGTGCGTGGAGACCATCATCCCCCTGCTGAGCACTGTCAACGTCGCGGACCGCACGGGCCGCACAGCACTCCACCACGCCGTGCACAGCGGCCACCTCGAGGTAGGCGAGGCGGGTTGGGGTACAAGGGGTCCCGCCGTGCCTGTCCCCCTGCTTCCCTGGCTCCAGGCTCCGCAGGTGGTGAAGGCACCTCTGCCTGCACGAGCGGGGCGGAATGGCAGCCTTGCCTCTCTCACGGCTTCTCCCCACCTAGATGGTGAACCTGCTGTTGAACAAAGGGGCCAGCCTGAGTACTTGTGACAAGAAGGACCGCCAGCCCATCCACTGGGCAGCTTTCCTGGGTAGGTTTTCCCCATGGGCATCAGTCCGGTTTGTTTTCCCACTTGCTGCCTGTGGATTCACCGTTCCGGGACGTGGGGCTCCCCAGGTCTCTGTTTTCTCCTGGCTCTTACCGCTGTCTCCTGGACAGGGCATTTGGAAGTTCTGAAGCTGCTGGTGGCCCGGGGAGCTGATGTGATGTGTAAGGACAAGAAGGGCTACACCCTACTGCACACCGCGGCAGCCAGCGGCCAGATCGAAGTCGTGCGTCACCTGCTGAGGCTGGGCGTCGAGGTGAGACCCCCACGGCTGCGAGCAGGGCGAGCTCGGGTGCTGGCCAGTCTGGAGACAGGAGCAGGAGAGGGTGCTGAGTGGTGGCAGGAACCCTGGCTGGTTCTCAGCTCCCTTTTTTTTTTTTTTTTTTTTTTTTTTTTTTCTTCCCAAATCCTCCCACAGATCGATGAACCAAATTCCTTCGGTAACACTGCACTTCACATTGCCTGTTACATGGGCCAAGATGCTGTGGCCAACGAGCTGGTCAACTACGGCGCCAACGTCAATCAGCCTAACGAGAAGGGCTTCACCCCTCTGCACTTTGCTGCCGTCTCAACCAACGGGGCCCTGTGCCTAGAGCTCCTCGTCAACAACGGGGCCGATGTCAACTTTCAGGTCTGCCAGCTTTGGGATGGGGGGAGCAGCGGGGACGCACTGCCAGAGGGGAGAGCTCAGGGAAGGTGGTAGGAAGCCTGATGTGATGTTGCTTCTGCTCTCCTGCAGAGTAAGGAAGGAAAGAGCCCTCTGCACATGGCTGCCATTCACGGACGGTTCACGCGTTCACAGATCCTCATTCAGAACGGTGAGTGGCTTCTTCCTCTGGCCCTGGGTTACCCCGGCCTTTCCTTGTGCTTCTCAGGACTTGCCTCCAGGACCTCCTCACCTCTTGTCTTGGAGGGTTTAAGGCCTCTGGAATTATCACTTGGATTGACTCTGTGCCCTTGGTGCTGTTGCTGATGGCCCTGTGCTGCTCTGGGGGGTGGCAGCCAGCGTGCATGCCCTCAAGGGCAGTGAAGTGCACATCAGGGGACTGAAATTCCAGCCAGGTCAGAGCTGCTGTGGCCAAGGAACATTTCCACTGCCCCCTCCAGCCTGAAAGACAATATTCTTGTAAGAGGGCTGCAGGCTCAGACAACACCCCAGGGGTTCAGCCTGTGAGCTCCAGGGCTGAATGCATCCCTTCCCGGGGCAAAGGGCAGAGATCTAATGCCCCAGGTTTGTAGGATACAAGTGGCCTCTCATCTCAGAGAGGAGTTTACAGTTCTTCTGTTCAATGCTGAATGGACTCGAGTTATTAGCCGTGTCCCTGAGATGGGGACGTGGCTGTTGGAACAGCCTGGGCTGCTCGGAATTAGAATGCAGAGACTCCCTGGCAAAGCACTTGGCTTTTCCTTTCTAGGCAGTGAGATTGACTGTGCTGACAAATACGGCAATACCCCCCTCCACGTTGCTGCTAGATATGGCCACGAGCTGCTAATTAGTACTTTGATGACGAATGGTGCTGACACTGCAAGGTAAGGAAGGGCTCCTCCTCCCTTTCTCTACCCTGGGCTGGAGGATGCAGAAATGATCCACCCTGACTCCCTTCTTGTCTCCTGGCAGGCGTGGGATCCACGACATGTTCCCTCTGCACTTAGCTGTTCTCTTTGGATTTTCAGACTGTTGTCGTAAGCTACTTTCCTCAGGTGAGTGGCTCGGCTGCCCCTCCTGCAGCGGGGGCACCTGGGGGGACCTTCGAGCTTCCCCCTGACTCCCTGCCCCTCCTGCCACCCAGGTCAGTTGTACAGTATCGTCTCCTCGCTGAGCAATGAGCACGTGCTGTCTGCAGGCTTCGATATCAACACACCTGACAACCTCGGGAGGACTTGCCTCCACGCTGCTGCTTCTGGAGGGTGAGCTGTGCCTGGGGCGCCGGTCCCACGCTGCGTGCAGGAAGGCTGCTGCCTGCCCCCAGCCCAAACCGTAACCCCATTCTTCGGCCGGGAGCTACAGCATGGGTAGCCCAGTGCTGTGCTGTGGTCAGGACTGGGAGTCAGACCCCTGTGTGCCGTTCCCAGTTCTGGGAGAGAGCAGAGACCCGTGTTTAGGACAGGGATGGAAATGGAAACCTTTTGGCCCTGTTCTGCCGCTGATGCTGTGACTCATCCTGGTTGCTCCCCTCCGTGGCCCTTTACCCTTCTTTAAAACAGGGCTAAAATTCTTCGTTGCTGGGGGTTTGTACGGGGCGCTCAGGCTGAGGCCTGAAAAGCAGCAGGGGTTTATCTGGCTGTGGAAATGCCTCGTATTGTTTGCCAGGGAGGTTGATTTCACGCGGCGCGTTGAGAGCGAGCGCGGCTGCAGCGACGGGGCAGCGGTGGAGAGTCCCGTCGAGGACCCCGTTTCTGTCATGTCCGCGCGGTGCTCGAGAGCCAGTCGGGGAGCGGTTACCCGGCCTGAGCGGCGGGAGTGACACAGAAGCCAGAAATCCCAGATCTTTTTTGTAGCATAAAATCCAGCACGTCAGCTGCACTAATGCCATGGCTAATGTCTTGGTAATTGCCTGGCTGTTTGAGAGCTCCGCGCCGTGCGGGGGGTAGCACTGGTGAGGCAGGAAGCGTGGAGGGTTGTTTCACTGGAGAGCAGGGACGAGCTTTGTGTGCAGCACCCAGCTGTGGCTGTGGCTCTAGCGCTGCCCAGAGATGACCGGCTGAATTGAGCTTCAGCACGTCCAGACTGTGCGGGTGGGAAGCGTGTCTGTCTTCTCTGCAACTAGGAGGAGTATGCGTTCCCGCTGTGGTCCCTTCTGATCTGTGTCTAACTCATCTCCCTACCTCCTGTAGGAATGTTGAATGTCTTAATTTGCTGTTGAGCAGCGGTGCTGACTTGAGGAGGAGAGATAAATTTGGAAGGTAAGTGTGCTGTGGGCCTTGCAAGGGAACAAGGGTGATTCCTCCAGCCCTAAGACAGCTGGAGCGCTCCGAGCCTGGGTTTGGGTCGGGATATTCCTAAGACCTTTGCTGCACTTGGTGTCTAAAGCTGCGTCTGTCCCCTGCTCCCAGCCCCAGGGGCCCAGCTCTGGCTCTTCAGAAGGAGCTGCTGACCCAAACCCTTGAGCCAGAGCAGGGTGCAGCTCAGCAGCAGCGGGGTGGCTGGCTCCCTGGCTCCCGCCTCGCTGCCTGGCGAGTCTCTCCAGCTGTGTGACAGGCCGCGCTGCTGAGCCCCTTCTCCCTTCCCCTTCCCAGGACTCCACTGCACTACGCGGCTGCCAACGGCAGCTATCAGTGTACGGTGACACTGGTCACGGCAGGAGCCAGTATTAACGAGGCTGACTGTAAAGGCTGTACCCCCTTACACTATGCTGCTGCTTCGGACACGTACAGGAGGTGAGTGTCTCGGGGGCACGGGCTCCTCGCTGCTGGGGCCGGAGGCGATGGCACGCTGCCGGGGGGTGATGCTCTGCTGTTCCCTGGCTGCCTCCCCGCAGCTGGTGCTCAGCAGTTGGTGAAGAGGGGAGCGCTCTGAGGAGCGGGAGTCGGAGGGGGTAATCAGCAAACTGATGCAGGTCTCTGGCCTTTCAGAGCAGAGGCTCATTCAGGAAACAGCCATGACACTGATGAGGAGCCACTGAAGGAGTCCAGGCTGAAGGAGGCATTCTTGTGAGTCCGCGCCCCAGCCCCATCTGGCAGCTGTTTGTTGTTTACCCCTTCCCCAGACCTCGGCACGCAGTCGCTAGAAGTACCTTGCTTCTGCTTACGCTGATCTGAGCAGTGGTGCCTTGGGGGAAACATCTGCTGATTCGATTCTCAAGGCAAACCTGGCCACTGCTTCCCAGTCCTCAATTCCTGCGGGCTTTGCATGCGCTCCGTGTCTTGAGGGGATTAGTACCAGCATCTGCTCTGAGATAGATCAGGGGGTTCCCTACAAAGGTCGGCCTCTCCGATCTCCCCTTTGTCTTCATCTCCCCTTTCTCTTGCTCATTGCAGTTGTTTAGAGTTCTTGCTGGATAATGGTGCTGACCCATCCCTCCGGGACAAGCAGGGATATACTGCTGTCCACTATGCAGCTGCGTACGGCAACAGGCAGAACCTCGAACTGGTGAGTGAGCTGGAGAAAACCCTCTGTGCTGCCAGGAGAAGGGGGAACCCCCTTGCAAGGAATGTGTCAAGTCCTGTGGCGTCCAGCTGTGGCTAAAGGACCGTGTGTGTTGTAGGGTTTGTGCAGGAGGAAGGGAGATGGGTTTGATTAAAAAGCATTGGGACTCTTGGGGAGCCATCGTGCTCAGAATACTACAGAGGAAAGACCTGGGCCTGTGTGAGATGCCTGAGAGAAATGAGCTTTGGTATCTGGCACAGGGGAACGTATGGATGTCTTGCTTAAACCCTTGGTAATAGAGCAAGGTTGGGCTTTTAAAAGGAAGCCTGGAGACCCGTGCCAAGGAGAGCTCTTGCAGTACAAATAACGCCTTGTAACTCTGAAGTGCCTGCATCATTGCAGGGCAAGCTTGCAGCCATGTGGGCACAGGAAATTGTATGAGTAGTGGGGAGGCTTTGGGGTAGCAGGGACTTGACGTGACTGTCTATGCAGGGCCCAAAGGCAGGTTAAGGAAGGTCCCATCCTGAAATTTGGATCATTCTGGAGCAGATGAGCTGGTTTCCATCGCCTCTGCAGCCTGTGGGTGGACAGGGTGACTGTTGGAAGCCTCTGTGATTCCAGGATCAGTTAGAGTTTTGTGTTGTTGCTATTGCAGCTCCTGGAAATGTCTTTTAACTGCCTGGAGGATGTGGAAAGCACCATTCCAGTCAGCCCTTTGCACTTAGCTGTAAGTATGGCTGGCCCAACCCCAGGGTTGCGGAGGGCTCTTGGCTCTGTGCGGGGTTCACCCCGAGTCCTGGAGAGGTGCCCGCGCCCGGGCGGCGCTGGCTGGGTCCCTGGAGCTGTCAGTGCTGAGCGGGGCTGAGCAGGAAAGGCACCGGCAGCAGGGGAGCGGCTTCCCCCACAGCCCATCGTTCAAAGTCCCTTTGATTTGTATGTTAAACTCCTTGCTCTTTCCAGGGCTTTCTGGCTGCTGCTATTTGGAGCCACCTCCCTTGTCCAAGTGTGGGCAGGGTGGGAGTAGGTGAGGGCTTTGTGTGGGACCCAAGTGCAGACAAGAGGCCGTGGCCCAGCAGGATCCTGCCCATCTGGCGGGAGGGACCCAGGGGACAGGAATTGCCCTGGGCGGGGGGGACACGGACACTTCTGGGTGCAGCCTCTCCAGGCACCGCTTTAACACGCTCTACTTTGTCCTCAGGCCTATAATGGTCACTGTGAAGCCCTAAAGACACTTGCCGAAACCCTGGTGAACCTCGACGTGCGGGACCACAAGGGGCGGACGGCGCTGTACCTCGCCACGGAGAGAGGCTCCACGGAGTGTGTGGAGGTGCTCACCAGCCACGGGGCGTCCGCCCTGGTGAAGGAGAGGAAGAGGAAGTGGACCCCTCTCCACGCTGCAGGTGACGGAGGGCGGACGGGGCTGGGGGGTGGTCGGGGGGCAGTGAGGGAGGGTGTCCAGAGCCCTTCCAGCCATCGGTGCCGCCGCTGCCGAGGGTGCCTGTTCACCCCAATGCCATTCGGGGAGAGAGGGGAAGGGGCTGTAGTCTGGGGGGACGCTTAGAGGCAGGCTGGGGCCAGTGCAGCCTGCTGTGACGTGCCAGCAGCAGCTGAGGGTCCGAGTGGCTCAGCAGCGGGTGGGAGAGAAGACAGCAGCAGCTTCTGCACACACGTGTCTCCAGCTCAGCCTGTGCACGGGCTAATCAATCCTGTAGCCTAGCAACCACATAACGAATTTGCTCAGCCACGTGTGCCTGGCTGCTGGGCACGAGCCCCTTCCTTCGGTTTGCGGCGGTGGCTGTGAGGAGGGGACCCAGCTGTACCTTGTGCGTGACTCCTTGCTTTGTGTGTCGTCTCCAGCTGCCAACGGGAACACAGATTCCCTGCACCTCCTGATAGACAGCGGGGAGCGGGCAGACATCACCGACGTCATGGACATCCACGGCCAGTGAGTTTGTCTGGGTGTTTCCCTTGGGATCTGCGTGGCTCAGGGTCAGGCCAGGGTGGCTGGGGCAGGGGAGCGAGGGCGATAATTGAACCCTGCTGATTTCCAAGCTCACTCCTCTCCCTGTGCCTTTCCCCCCATGCACAGAACCCCACTGATGCTGGCAATCATGAATGGCCACGTTGACTGTGTCCATCTCCTGCTGGAGAAGGGATCCACAGCCGATGCAGCAGACAAGAGGGGAAGGACCGCCCTGCACCGAGGGGTGAGTGCATCCCGGGGACCGGGGCAGTCCTGCAGCCTCTGTACCTCCTCCTGTGCAGACGCTGCTTGGAGGGCAAGCGGGTGGTTTCTGCTGTTACAAGAGTCCTCAGTGAAAGAGCCCATTTTCCCTTCCTGAGATGCGGCATTTGAGAAGGAAGCTGTGGAAGAAGGGGGGGTAGTTCTGTTGCTAAGTGATTGAAGGGTGAGCTCTGAGGTCCTGGTCCTCTTTTCTGGCCCCAGGCTGTGACGGGCTGTGAGGACTGCCTGGCTGCCCTCCTGGACCACGATGCCTTCGTTCTGTGTCGGGATTTCAAAGGCCGGACCCCGATCCACTTTGCGTCGGCGTGCGGGCACTTAGAAATCCTGAGGACCCTGCTGCAGGCAGCCCTCTCTACTGACCCTCTGGACTCCGTGGTGGACTACAGCGGTTACTCACCGATGCACTGGGCTTCATACAGTGGTAAGGACCTGGGCTGGGCCCCTGCCCACCTCTGCTCTGCTCTGCTCTGGCTGTTGGTGGGAAAGAGGGAGCGAGGGAGAGCCAAGTTGTCCCTCTGTGCCCCGCTGCTTTGGGAGCCGTTAGCCTAGCAGGGAATTCAGCCTGGTGGAAAGGATGGCACAAAGCTGGGAGTCTTTCTCCCCCTGCCGAGCTCCTTAAAAAAGGAATTAAATTTGAAAACTGCTATTGCAGAACAGCTGAGGCTGCTTCCTCCAGGGCTGCTGGGTTTATGGGATCACTTGGCCGTCACCCTGGCTGCAGGGTGTGATGGGGGGCTGATATGGCTACTGGAAGGGATGTCTCAGCATTTCAAGGGGAAACTAGCAATGTGGCTGTGAAGTCCTTCAGGACATGGTGGAATTAGAAACCTCCTGAAGTGCAGCAGCTTTGCTGCCAGAGAGGAAACAAAACCGCTGCTCTGTGCTGAGGAGCGGGTTGGTTTGGGCACTTTGGTGCTGCTGGTCCTGTGCAGCCTCTGGGGCTCTTTGGACGTGGGGAGAGCCAGAGTGGCCCTCAGTCCCTTCTTGTTCTGTTACAGGTGAGGAGCTGCAGGCTGGGTACTGATGTATTGCTGTCCCTCTCTCCTCACAGGGCATGAAGATTGTCTTGAATTGTTACTTGAACACAATCCATTTGCGTACCTAGAAGGAAACCCCTTTACTCCATTGCACTGTGCAGTGTAAGTGGCTCCTGGGACCTGCCCGGGTTCTTCCCAGCCGGGTGATGTGGGAGAGGGGATACATGGTCTGCGTGGAGGAGCTCCAAGCCCTGCCTTTCTTGCCAAGGGCTCTTCTGGGCGGCAGCAGCTCCTCAGGGTGGTACCAGCAGCTCATCCCAGCTCCCTTGAGGCACGAGGCAGTTGCTGGGCTGCTGGAGGTCCTTGGGGAGCTGTAAACAGCTCTCGTTGGCTGTCACCTTCCAGACTCCCGTGCCAGCAGGCTTTCAGCTTGATGCAGCTAATGGAGCTGCCAGGAGCTGGTGGTTCAGGCCTTGGTGGTCCTCTTGGATGGGTCATCTCTGCTCTTTGGTTATGCAGCATCTCAGGAAATCTCCAGGCTTCCCACGAGGCTCTGGAGATGGGCTCTGGAGGGAGAAGGGCTCCGTGTTATCCCAAGCCACCTTCCTCAGGGGTGTCTGGGGCAGCGTGAGCACGATTCCTGGGGCCCCACTGGGCACAGAGGGGTTTGGGGCTGATGGTGGTTCCTTGGCTCTGCAGCTGGCAGAGGAAGGAGTGTGCTGCCCTGGGCTGCTGTGGAGGGATGAGGAGGGTGGAGGCATCGCCATGTTCTGCCCGGGGTGGGCCTGGTGTGTCCTTGGGACCCGTAGCGGCAGAGGATGGGCAAGGCTGTTGTCTGGCATGGTGCTGGGCTTCCTTGAGTAAGATCGAGAAGGGTGAAGGGGTGTTTTACCCTGAACAACAACAGACCCAGCTACTGTTGCATCCAAGCCCCAGGAACATGCTGCTCACTCCCACTGCAGACGTGCTAACTCTGCTTAGGCTTGTTCTAACTTTCCTTCTCATCCCCACCGCAGAATTAACAACCAGGACGGCACTGCTGAAATGCTGGTGGAAGCATTAGGTGCCAAGATTGTTAATAGCAGAGATGCCAAAGGAAGGTGAGCGCAGACTTGTCCCTCTCGTCACCCACTCCCCAGTGCTGCTGGGGGGTGGCTGTGACTCCTGCAGTGATTGCCACATGACTTCCCAGGGCACAGAGGGACTCTGACGTCCCCAAACATGCCCGTGGGCCTGGGCAGTCTTGCTGGGGTGGGTGCTGTGCCCTCTCCTTCACTCGCTCTCTCGTCTCCGCAGGACACCCCTTCACGCTGCTGCCTTTGCAGACAACATCCATGGTTTACAGCTGCTTCTGCGCCACCAAGCCGAGGTGGACATGACTGACAAGCTGGGGAGGACTCCCCTCATGATGGCTTCTGAGAACGGGCACACTGCAGCAGTCGGTACGTGGCCGGCAGCCGCTTTCCCCAGCGCGGGGTGCGAGTCTCCCTGCACCTCCTCTGTCACCGGGTCCCGTGGGAGCTGGGACGGCTGCTCCACTCCTGACCCCTCAGCTCATGGCTGCTGCCCCACACTGCCGGGCTCTGTGCTGCTGCTTCTCAACAGCAGCTGTCCCTCCTCGTTTCAGAGTTCCTGCTGTACCAAGCAAAAGCAAATATAACTGTGCTGGATGTCAACAAGAACACAGCTCTTCACCTGGCCTGCAGCAAGGTAGGGAGCCCGCCGCACACAGCCACCTCAGCCTTGCCACCTTAATGAGAGGGGTTGCCCGCCTACTCCTGCCCCACCAGAGCAGAGGCGAGGGCACTGGGCTTGCTCTGCCAGCCTGCTTACCTGTCTTGACCTGTACAGGCGCTCCTGATACAGTTTTGAGCAGCTTAGGGTGTAGCACAGGCCTGCCCGTGTTTTTCCCCGGGACCTGCGCTCTGAGCTCTGTGCTTCCTGTGGCGTGGTGGGAGCAGGGGGCTCGTGATCAGTGTGTCCACGCAAAGGAGGAGATGGTGGAGGGGCAGCAGCTTGGCTTCTCAGGCCCTGCCAAAGCGGTGACCCGTTGTAGAGGGTCGGGTTTAGGGAACGTTTCTGTATCCCGGGGAATCACGTTCCACTCGGGCAGCACCAGGTCCCCGCCGCTGCCCCTGCCCTCCTGCTCGTGCACTATCGAAGGTCTGGTCTCCTTTCCAGGGTCATGAAAAGTGTGCCTTGTTGATCCTGGGGGAAACCCAAGACCTTGGCCTTATCAATGCAAGTAACAGTGCTCTGCAGATGTGAGTATTTGGACAGCTGGTGCCAGCGAGGGAAAAGCAGGGCTTTGCTGGGTGGGGGTGACGCATGGGCGAAAGGGCGCTGGTGTGAGCTTGCGGGGCTCAGGACCAGTCAGGCACCTGCCCTCGCAGGGGCCTGTGCTTTAGCGCCAGGTGTTAAAAGCAGGCAGGTTAACGTGGCCTCCCCCTCTCCCCCCAGGCCGCTCCACATCGCAGCTCGGAACGGGCTGGCCTCTGTCGTCCAGGCCCTGCTCAGCAGAGGTGCCACTGTGCTGGCTGTGGATGAAGAAGGTGCGTGTTCCTCGTGGGAGTCCGGGGTGGGGGGTGGGGGTTCAGTGTGATGTCCCTGGGGGATGGGGACTGCCTGGGGGAGCACTCAGCTGGGATCGGAAGGATTTCCTCATCCCTTCCATGGCTGAGCAACACAGGCTCAGCCGTGGCATTGCAGGGACAGTCTGGGTGAGGACATCATTAGCACCCTGCAATCCCCTGTAAAAGCATTTCCAGGTGCCACAGGTGTTTGAAATAGGTCTTTTATTCTCCATGCATCTTCTGGTGGCCGTCTGGCTCTCCTGCCAGGCACAAAACCAGCCCAGCCTGAGCCAGCAGTAAAGCTGTTGACTCATTTGCAAGTTGGCAGAAACCGGTTGTTGTGGCCAGAAGCTTTTTCTCCCAGCAGAGCTCTTGCTCTGCTGGAATACCTTTAAGTTGTGAAAAATATCATTGCGCCTGCCTTGCTGCCAGGGCTTCTGAGGCTTTCTGTTCGTCTCCTGCTGCTCCTGGCACTCTTCAAAGCGGTCGCTGAAGCAGGGTCCTTTGAGATAAAGACAAATAGAGGTGCAGGGGTGAGAACCTCCCCAGTCGAGGCGGTTCCTCACCCCCGGCTTTGTTCTAGGTCATACCCCAGCCTTGGCATGCGCCCCCAACAAGGACGTTGCCGACTGCCTGGCACTTATCCTCTCCACCATGAAGCCTTTCCCACCTAAAGACGCCATCAGCTCTTTCAGCTTCAACCTCCTCAAGAACTGCGGCATTGCAGCCAAAACCGCCGCCTGCGGGGCCCTGCCCAACGGCAGCTCCTGCCCCTACAGCAAGGACCGGCACAATGCCATCGGCTTGGACGGCTGTTACTCGGAGTAGCTTAAACTATGGGTGACCTAATATCTTATTATATTTATTTAGAAATTCTATAAATATAGGGCACTTTAAAGGAGAACAAGACTGGGCAGGCCTTCTAGCGTGGCCGGGTAGGCCAAGAGTTCAGAGCTTCCTCTTCTCGCTGGATTGCCAGCGCGGTGCCAGAGCTGTTAATTGGTTTAACGAGCAGCCGGCGGTGCCGTTCCCGTCCCCTGCCCCTTGTCCATCCTCTCCCCCCCCCCCCAGCGCCTGCTCGCACCCCTCCGGCGGCGGGGCGGGAGACGGGTGCTGCGGGATGAGGGCTTCGCCCGGCCGAGGCGAGGCGGGCGCCGCCGGCCGTCAGGAAGGAGCTTTGTCCCCCAGCCTTCAGGGTGGTCGAAATCGGTGCCGGCGTTGCCCAGGGGCCCCGTGCCGTGCTCCCGGGGCTGCCCCGAGCCCTCGCTGCGGCCGGTCGGGACGGGGAAGCCTGAACTCTTGGTGGGATTTGGGGGGGGGGGGGGGGGGGGTGTGTGTCTTTGGGAATTGGCTGGTCTTGCAGGCGCTGGGGGTGGGTGTTAGCTCCTGGCCAAGTGCCACTGTAACTGCTCCTCTCGCAATCACTTCTGTTCTCACGCTCATTCTTCGATTCCAATACAAACACTTGAATCAAGATCTACTGTACCTGGGACACTAAAAATATCCTTTTGGCAGCTGTCATTTATATGCAAAAACGGGTGCTGCTGCCCAACCCCGCGGTCGGCTGGCTGCGGATGCGCTGCTGGAGCCTCCCTCCCCACACCAGGCACTTTAGGGATTCTGTTGGTTGGTTGTTTTTTTTCCTTGACAAAACGTTGGATCCTAAGAAACAATTCTTTTTTGAATTTTCGTTCTCTGTTTTGCGTGGCCGTTTCCATGCGAGAGTCAGTGTTGCTTTTTTTTTTAAAAAAGAAAAGTTATTTATAAAGAAACGAGCATTTACCTTTAAAAAAAACAACAAAAACCATAAAAAAATTCTGAAAGTTTTAGCCTTTAATAAGGAAAAAAAAATGCACTTCAAAGTCCTTATTCACAACCCTAAGTAAGTCTGCGTTTATTTTTCTAATGCAGCATCTTGGCAGGTTTATTAGCGTGCGTGTATGTGGGATCATTGTTTTTTGTTTTGGGTTTTCTTTTTTTAATTTTAGAAATCATATTTATAATGCAGGTTTGAAGCATTCGAGAATGTTGCACTGTTTTTTTCCGTTGTTTTTGGTTTTGTTTCTTTGTTTTTTTGTTTTGTTTTTTTTTTTTTTCCTTCTGAATTACTGTAACAGTATCATGTACAAAAAACAATACTCTTTCTCCATATCACGAGTCTGTTCAAAGCCAAAGACTGGGATGCAGAGAACGAGAATGGGCTGACAGGGCAACAAGCGTTTTGGGAACCATCTTCTCCCCCCGACCCCCTTTCCCTCCGCAGCCTTGCCGGGAGCGCGGGGCGGGGGCCGAGGCTCCCCCCCGGGGGCATCCCAGTGCGATCCCTGTGGGATGGGAGTGGGGAGAGAAGGATCCCTCTCTCCCAGCACACCCTCGGCGCCCGCTCGCCTCCTCTTCGCCGGCGAGACTGCGACGGGGCCGCGCGAGCCTTGCGTTGCGGCTCTTCTGCCCAGCGTTTCAGAGAGAAAAAGCATTTCTGTAACCAAAATAAGGTATTACGTCTTTTTTCTTCGTCTTTTTTTTTTTTTTTTTTTTTTAAATAGTTTCTAAATGAAGGTGGCTCCTGTTAGGGTGGTGTTGGTCGGGTTTAGGCGGTGGTGTGGAGCGAGAGTTGGAGCTGGCCGTTCCTGGGGACGGCTCCCGAACGGGCGAGGGTGCTGCTGGCAGCCCGCGGGGAGGGTCCCCTCGCACTGTTTTCTTTCTTTTACCAAAGCCAAACTCTTAGAACCAAATATGAAGTCTCAGTCTTGGCCTTTGGGTGATAAGCACATTTTCTTCACGTTTCATATAGGAGTTTTTCCCAGCGGGGTCGGGCCCTCGCATTGCCCTTGCTCGGCACCAGCTGGCTGGCGGAGCTCGGTCTCCCCGTCCCGTTACCCACCCGCACTTCGTTCAGCAAAGCACTCGAGAAATTTGCCCTTGGCGAGACCTCGGAGCCGAGCGCTGGCCAGCCCGGTCCCCGCAGGGCTCCGGTCCCTGGGTGCTTCCTGCGGGCTCCGCCGGCTGCTCCGCAGGGATCCCCCCTTCTCGGACCTCGAGCCCCCTCCTCCCCGCTCTCAGCAAGGCGGCGGCGGCGGCTTGCTGTGCCGGCGGGTCCCCTCCTTTGGTGCCAGCGTAGGATTGTGTCCCCAGCTGATTGCGTCTCCCCACTCCCCCCTCCAACCCTCTAGCTTGAAAGAAAGTGTTAACCTTTCTGCACCGAATACCTCAGTTCGGAACCAGAATAAACTCACGAAACTTGAATAAAAAGATCCTTTTTGAAGATCCTTTTCAGTATTCTACAGAGGAGAACTGGAAAAAGAGACTTGTTTACATTGCTGTCGAGTCTGCACTTGCCTCTTGCAGCTCTTTCCCTTTCTGGGAGGAATTTAGGCATCACTTTATCTCTTGTCGCTGCCAGCCCTCACCCTCCCCGCGGGGCAGGAAAATGGGTCCAAAGTCCAGAGCTGTCGTCTTCAAGGGCTAAAGTGCTTTTTCAGGCACACGGAGGGGCCCAGCCGCTCCCGGCCCCGGCCCCGGCGGCGATTCCCGGGGACGGGGATGGGTTCGGAGCGGGGCAGAGCCTGGGGCCACGACGGCTCCGTCCCCTCGAGCGATGCCGCGGCTCTCCCGGGGTCGGGTCGGCTGGGGGAAGCTCGGAGGCCCCAGCAGAGCTGGGATGCCCTGCGCCCACCGCGGGAGGGACGGGGCCGTGCCCCCTCCCCGTGCCCTGATCCCCGGGGCCGTGTGGCTTTGGCACCGCTGGCGGGGGACGGGACTCCAGCACCGTTTCACTTGAACACGGCTTTTTCCTGTAGCCAGGGTGAGAGCGTTCCTTAGAGCACACGGAGAATGCTGCTTTTCCTTCACTCCCCCTTATTTTTTGGAGTATTGTGGTTTTCAGCTTCTTTGTTTAGAGGAGAAAACCCATCTCTCTTGGCCTTGTTTCTGTGCTACGACGTGGTACCTTCCGCTCAACATGACGACTAAACTATGACGAGACAATCAATGTGATCTCTGTAAGGGCTTCTCCATTTCTTCTCTGCAGCACCATGCTTTATATATGTGTGTTCTTTGCTCTTAGCGAGGATCTTTTTCTCCCCTCCCCTTGTGTCTTATTAAAAATAATAATAATAATAATAAAGATGGAGGGAAATGAGGTTTCAGCAGCGCATCCGTGGTCTGGGAGCACATGGGAGGAAACATGGGGTGGGAGGGGAAGGGGGACGTGCGGCCAGTTTCCTTGCAGGTACCAGTCTTGTTCTCCTTTAACGCTGTATTGTATACATTTGACAGCACAGCTTGACAATTTAAGTAATAATCAAAGTGTTTGGTAATAATGCATTATTTTGCTAAACGAGATTTGTGATGGTTTCCCTAGTGCATTGTAAAGAGGGATGGAGGGAAACTTCCGCTGCCCTGCCCGCTCCCCCCCACCCCCCCCTGGCCCCTCGTGGACGGGGGCTCCCCCGAATCTTCTTTCCCACTGACCTTTATGCCAAAGTTGGACCATTCCCGCTTCGCGTTCTGCCGGCGCCCGGCAGCCCTTTGGTGTAGCGCTCACCGAGCAGCGACTTTTTCGGCTTCCCCCCCCCCCGCCCTCAGTGCTACTTAAATCTCTTGGTTTTGAAAACGCAGCCACCAGATCACCCATCCCCTCCACTGCCCCAACCTCCGAAAAAAGGAAGTTTCTCTCCGCCCCCTTGGTCCAAAGCACTTGCTTCAAGTAATAAGCACTTTTGTTAAAGCATGAGTCTGGATTCCCTTTAGCATCCCACGGGATAGAGAGCAGCAAGAGCGGAAGGGATAAGAGAGTGTCTTTGGTTTTATTTTTTCATTTTTAATTTTAAAAAAAAAAAAAAAGTTTGTTTCTAGGGAATGAATGAACAAAGGGAAGTTGTGTTTTGAGAGAGAGTTAAGACAAAAAAAAAAAAAAAAAACAAAAAAAAAAACAAACCACAGCACAAATACATTTCAACTCAAAAGGTGTATTTGCACTGCCATTGCTAGAGAAAGGGGCTGCCAGCCCTGCAGCCCCACTGAGCCATATAAACTGCTGACAAACACTGAATGTAACGTCCTTGCAGAGGGCAGCCCAGGGAGGCTGGGATTGGCTTTATTCTCGACGGGCACTTCAATGAAATTCAAAAATAACCTAACGATGATGAGAATCTGGTTGGTGTTTCTTTGTTGTTGCTGTTCCCGAGCTGCAGGCAATTTGAAACTTTTTTTTTTTTCTTTAGGAAAACGTTTCCCCCCTCTCCAGCACTCCCCTCCCGTTCCCCCTGCCCCATCCCTGCCCTGGCCGGAGCGAGGAGCTCCGGCGACCAAAAGCGAGATGAGTAGTCCCCAGCCCCATCGACCACGTCCCAGGGCTGGAATCTGGCAGATATAAAAGTAGCACTAAAAACAAAGCAAAAACTCCCCCCAAAAAAGGAAAAAGGAACAAGGTTTTTTTTTCTGTTTGTTTGTTTTGAGCACTCTGAGTGTGGTAGTGATTCCGTCGATGCCCCGGCGTCTCCCAGCGTGCGGGGTAAGGCGTTAGAAACAAGTGGAAAACCAAAACAAAGAACAAACTGCAAAGACCCAAGAAACAATCTTTTTCTTTGATTTTATTCTGTTGTTTGGTGGGACGGGGGGGACGGGCCCCGGGAGCTGCCCCCACTCCCTCCCAGCTCCACCCCGAGGGTCCCCGCATCCCCCCACCTGCCCCAGGGACCACAAACGGGGGGACCTCGGGGTCCCCCCAGCCGCGAATGTCGGGGTCGGACCCGTGCAGACTGTCAGCCCACGCTCACCTTTGCCTTCAGTGAGAAACCAAAGGAAAAACCAACCCCTTCCATTCAAGATACTGGCACGGACACGCGGATTCTTTGGTTCGTTTTTTTTTTTTTTTTCTTTTTCTTTCCTTTTTTTCCTCCTTTTCTTTGTTTCTTTGTTTTTCTCCAAGGACGCGAGGAGCTGTTCAAACCTCTTCTCCTGGCTGAATTTTTCTGGGCTCAGCAGTGCTGGGTGCATTTGAAAGGAGGAAAAAAAAACCCCAACAAAGCCGAGACTCGGCCGAAGCGACGGCGGGAGCTTCGGAGCGGGGAGGCGGAGGGGTAACGTATGCACGAGGCGAGGGACCTGCCGGGAGCTCTCCGAGGGGGAGCAGCGGCGCGCTGCATCGCGGCTCTTTAGTTCCTAAAACCCTCAGAGTCGTGGCGGGAGGCTGGAGCGGGATGGAGCCGGGGCCCCCGAGGGGCAGGGCGGGGAAGGGGGATGCGTCTCTGAGGACTCAAAGGCATCTGTAGCAAGCTCTGTGTCTTTACAATATCCTGTGTGTAAATGCTGCACCTCTGTATATTATGCACATAAACGTTTCTTTGAATAAGATAGGACAGACCTCATCACCAGTCAGGTATAAACGACTCTTCCTCTTCTGTGTCTCGGTGTTCCGGTGTGCGTGTGCGTGCAAGCGGTTCGTGTGCGGGTCCGTGTGTCTGGGCGTTGTCTGAGCTTCCCGTGCAGGGGAGAAGGAGGGAAAAAAAAAAAAAAAAAAAGAGGAAAATAGCCTTACTCGACCCAGTCGTATCGGATATTGTTCGTCAACTTGAAAATAATAAAGTAAATGCATGGAAACCTCTAGCTGAGCCACGGTGCGTGACCGTGGGTGTGATGTTTCGGAGATCCAGGGTGCTGAGTGTCTCGTGCCGCACATCCCGAAGCTCTCGGTCCCACCGGGGTTTCTCCTGTAGCTGCGGAGGGTGGGCGGCTGCTGCCTCGCGTGCCTGGTCCTTCCTCCTGTCCTTTCTTTTTCTGTTTTTCCTGAGACTGTAGGGAGCGAATTCCTGACGGCTTGACCAAAACTGCCATTTCTTTGGTGCTCTTAGTTTCCAGGGGCCGTCGTCAGTCCTCGGAGCCCCGGGGTGCTGCAGGTCCCTGTCTGTCCGTCTGTCCGCAGACCTGCCGCCGGCTCCCTCGCCCCGGGAGGGAGGGAGCCCTTCGAGCTGTGCCTGCGGCGAAGGACAGGGATGGAATTGCCGGTCGGGTTAGTCCGAGTCGGATAAAACGCGGTGGCCGTCCCTGCTGAGAGGAGAGACTGGGGTGGGGGCCAGAGGCACGAGGGGTCCCAGCCCCCCAGCCCCGCTGCGGGACAGGGCGAGGGCTCCCGGCGGGTGGGTGGTATTTGGGCGCCTTGATGCCGGCAGCGTCTTTCCGTTCCTGAATTTTGCACTATGTGAAACGTGGCCAGTGTCGGAGGCGGGGACGCAGAGGGGGGTGCACTGCCCAGCTCCTGCCTGCGAGAGACCTGGGAGGGGGCGAGGGGGGGGGATGTTGACCAAAAGGAACATCAAAGACACCGTAGGCTGGTCGTGGGTGAGAGGGTCCCGACGCGCCGGGCTTAGAGGGCGTTAAGACAAACCCAGAGCCCGTCCCGAGCACTGGACTTGAGAATGTTTTTCCTACTTGAAGGTACTAACCAAAACGGCTGCTTTCTTCGGCGTCCCCCCCCCCCCCGCCACGCGCTGGAGGTGGGATGGGGCAGGTGGGGGGTAGGGGAGCTGTGCTCGGAGCCGGTCCTTGTCCCTCCGTGCCCCAAAAAGTTCTCGCATCCCCCGTCACGCGTCCCTTTGCCCTTACGGGTGTCTGGCTGCGGGGCCGAGAGGTGGGGTGGGGAGAAGGGAGGCTGAGGGCAAAACTTGCACCCCGGCTGGTTTTGCGAGAGGATTGAGCCTGAATTTCCGCCTCCAGCAGGCAGGTCCTTGCCCAGGTCACATCCTTGCCTGTCCATCCCCCCCCCCACCTCCAGCCCCACGCTCCCCCGCAGCCGGCGGGCACCCGTGACCTGCTACAGCCGTCGTGTTCGGCAGCACAGGCTTGAAAATTGCACTGGAATCGTTACGTGCCAGTTCTTCCTCCTCCTCCTCCAACAGATCCGAATTTCTCTTTGAACCCTCAGTTTTTCCCGCCAGCCTGTGTTCCCTCCCCTGCGCGCCCCAAACCCGCCGAGGCTCCCGTCCCCGAGAGCCACGAGAGCCGGTTTCGGGCCAGAGCTCCGACTCCGTCCCAGAGCAGGGACGGGGCAGGGAGCTGCCGGACGCGCGGCGGAGGGGACGGCCGGGCTTTGCGATGCTTCCCTGCTCTTTCCAAACCTGTTGGTGTCCAGGAAATCTCGTTAAACGCTGGAGTGTCGGGCGGGATTCCGTCACGGGCTGGATTCGGTGGGAGCTCGGAGCAGCAAGCTGCGAGCCGGCGTTGGGGCAGGGCTGGGTGTGGAGGAATAGCCTGTGTTTGCCGGGAGGATCCGGTGCTGCCGGTCAGAGACCTCCTGGCTCCCAGCGCCCAGCCCTCGCCGGGTTTGGGAGCAATGCCAGGCGCGTGGGTCTGTACACCCGTGGGCACACCCGTGGTCGGTCTCAGCAGGCACTCTCTTAGCTTTAAAGATTTCAGAGTCCTCTAAGACCCCTTTCAAAATCCTTTTGAAGTCATTCGGTAGGTTCTTCCTTTCCCTTTTCCTCCTCGATACGCACGGAAGGGCGTTTACGGGGGTTTGCTTCATTTCTCGCCTGCCCTGCGTCGGGGAAGCACAGGTTGGTAGCGAAGGGCTCAGCCCCCGCTCCCCCCGGGGTCCGGGTTTGGCGTCACTTCACATCCCCCTCCGACCGCATTTCGGTGCCCTCCGGCTGCTCGGGGGAGGCTGTTCCCGCCTGCAATGGGGGCTCCTCTGCCCGTCCCCTCGCGGGTGTCAGGCGCAGGGGACGGGGAGGGGTCTCGGGTGTCTCCCAGTCCAGCTGCAGATGTGCCCAAGGCAGGGAGCGGGCGCTGGGGCTCGGCACCCTTGGGTCCCCCGAAAGGACTGAAGCGTCCCGCGGGGCCGGGGCTGGCACAGCTGCAGGGACATTGGCCCGCCCGCGGTGTGACCGTCCCTGGGGCTGGCTGGAGCCTTGGGCACTGCCCGGGGACGCTCCAGTCCTCGGTGCTGATTTTTCAGCTGTTTCAGACCTTTGCAGGGAGCGGAGATCAACGTTCCCTGGGGACGGGGCCAGCGCTGGTTCCTCGCCCAGCTCTGCTCTGGGCACCCTGAGCCCCCGCATTTCACAGATGCTTCAGTGTGACACCAGCCCGGGGACAGGGTGCCCCGATCCCCCCGTTCACACCCGAGCAGGAGCTTTTGGTGCCGGAGCTTTCCGTGCCGTGGGAAGATCCAATGCAGGACGAGAGAGTCTCTTTAGGCTCGTTTGGGGGGTGGTTAGATAACGAAGAGCTGCTTTAATTTGTGTCTTCTCTGCACTGTTCACACCTACCTCTGGCAATAACGGGGCCGGGGCACGCACCTGGGGAAGCGCTTTCCTGCCCCTCGGACCCGCAGCCTCGGCGGCACGAGTGGGGCTGGAGCACCCAGGCTCTGCCTGGATCCTCCCGCCACGGGCAAGCGCCCGCGTCCCAGCGAGGGCTGGGCCGAGGGGGAGAGCAGCCCCCTGAGCCCCCCACCCGCCGGCCCCCCGCACCCGTGCGTAGTAGCTGCTTCGTCTCCTCGGAAGGTATTTTTACTTTAACTCCCCGGCTTCGTTCCCCTCCAGCGCACTGAAATGTGGGACCTGCTGAGCAAAAACCAGCATGCGGCCGTGCCGTTGTTCGTCAGCGGCAGGGCCTTAATTGGCCGTTGTTCTTGCTGGGGACCTGTAGCTTTGGACTTGGGCTGCTGGGGAGAGGTGAGCGCGCCAGCTCGAGGGGCCGGGGTCCGAGCATCCCCCGCAGTGAGCACCGTCAGCACAGTTCCCCCCCCGCCCCCCGCCCCGAGCACGGTGCGGAGCCCGGGGCCGTGGCGGCCGTTCCGGCGTCTCCCTCCCCTCTGCGGGTGCTTCTTCCTCCAACCCCTGGTTCAAAGCACAAACGCGTGGCCGGACGGTGGAGAGGAGGTCTCCGCTCCGGCGGGGCACGGGGAGTCCTGGCCCCTCGGCCCCCACCCCGCACACCTGCCCCGTGGAGACCCGCCGCAAAGTAGGGTAGAGTTCTGATGTGCAATTTAAGAAATAAAAAGTATGAAATCCCCCCAGGGCTGTTGTGGTGGCCTCGAGGCGCTGGGTGCCTCGGTGGGCAAACTGAGCCAGGTCCCCCCTGAGCTTGCTGGTTTCTCGCCCTTCTCCTGAGAGCGGGCGCCCCAGAGAGCCCCCAGATCTGTCCCGGCCAGCGAAGCACTTGTCTCTGGGCAGAGGAAATCGGAGCAAGCAAAATCCTTTCGTGTCGTGGAAGGGAAACACAAAGCCGTTCATCCCCCGCGCGGTGCTAGGGAGGGAATATGAGGCGATACGTAGGAGAAGAAGGAAATCAGCCCAACAAGCCATCCGTCCCCGCAGCGCAGATGCTATCCTGTCAGCCTCCTCCTTGCCCCCGCCTTGAGCCTAGTGAGCGGTTACTTTTGTCTCGGATGTTCCATATATGTATTTTCAGAAGTCCTGCATCACCTTCGGGGAGGGAGGGGGGGGGAAAAGGAACTAAAAAAGAAATTAAAAAAATAAAAAGGAAAGAAAAAGAAAAAAAAAAAAAAAAAGAAAAAAAGCATTCAGACTTGATCTATTTTATACAATGTAAGCTGCGACCAAGTCCTGTTATTCATATTGTGGCTTTGAATCAATTATGTTTATTAAAATGCTATTGCTTCTATGTCCTGTCGTCCTTTCTGTGCTAAAGGCTGGTCCAGGGGGAGCGGGACAGGGAAATGTGCTCGACCTCGCCCCCGGAGCCGGCGGTGAGAGCACCCCACTGCCCTCTCACCCTGGGGAGCACTGGGTGCCCCGGGCCCCCCCCAGAGAGGACACAGGGTGCGAGGGGACCCCACATCCCCTCCCCACAGGGCTGGGGGGGGCTGCGCAGGGCTGAGCCACAGAGACCCCTGGGGACGGCGGATGCTGCTGAGGGTCTCGCAGAAAGGGAGAAAGTCTAATCCTGGGGGCACGTTTGGGGCTCCCCCCATCCTGCCATCCTTCCTGCTGGCTCTGGCCACGGTTCCCCGCTCCGGGCGGTGTCGGGGGCGAGCGGGGCCGACCCCCCCAGGGCCGCTCAGAGCTGCAGCCAGGCGCGGACGTGTCCCTCGGCGAGGGCGATGCCCAGCATGATGCTGCTGCCCAGCAGGAACCCCACGTTCTGCAGGAGGAATCGGCCCCAGGTGCCCTCGCCGGGGCCCTCGGCGCCCCGCAGCACCTCGGGGAGCTGGGGCAGAGCAGGGGGGGGTGCTCAGCGGGGCCAACACGAGACCCAGCCCCGCGGCTGCCCCCCCTCCCCGGCCGCCCCCTTACCATGTCGGCCAGGGCCACGTAGAGGAAGATGCCGGCGGTGGTGGTGAGGATCCAGGGGGTGAGGTGGGACGCGCTCTGCCCCACGGCTGCCCCCGCCGCCGCCCCCAGGCAGGAGAGCCCGGCCGAGAGCAGGTTGAGGAGCAGGATGGTGCGGGGGGCCGTGCCCGCCCGCAGCAGCACCGCCAGGTCGCCTGCGGCAAGGGGAGGGTGGTTGGGGGAGCGGGTGACGGGGTGGGGGGGCCACAGCTGGGGCGGGGGGCAGGCGCTTACCCAGCTCGTGGGGCAGCTCGTGGCAGAGCACGGCCAGCGCGGTGCTGAGGCCGCTGGAGAGGCCGTGGGAGAAGGCGGCACCTGCGGGAAGAGGGTCCCCGATGCACTCCCCATTCCTCTGCACCCCCCCATCCCTCTGCACCCCGTCCCTGCGCACCCCCCTCACCGATGGCCAGTCCGTCCGTCAGGTTGTGGATCCCATCCCCCAGCACCACCATCCAGATGATGTCGGTGGCCCTGGGGCTGGGGGGCAGCGTGGGGCCGTGGGAGTGTCCGTGGGGGTGTCCGTGGGGCTTGAGCTCCAGCTCTGGCTCTGGTGCTGTCAGGTGTCGCAGCTCAGCCCCTGCGGTGGCAGATGCGGCGTGGGTGCCAGAGCTGGGGGCCGTGGGTGCTGTGGGGTGCAAGGGGCGGGGGGGGGCTCTTACCCCCTTGTGACGGTGCCGGGACCCCGGTGGCCACGTCGAGGGTCTCTCCAGGGGAGTGTCTCTGGGGGAAGACAGCGGCCTTGGGTGCGATGCTGGAGCTGGCGGCAGCCCTGCGCCCTCCCCGGCACCCGCATCTCTCACCGTGGCATCCCGGCTCCGCCGCAGCATCCCCAGGAGCAGCTCCACCAGGAAGAGCAGGTAGATGCCCCCCAGCACCGTCAGCCCCTGAAGCACCGCGGCCCCCGGCTCCGCCGGCATCTCCTGGTGCATCCCCTGGGCCTGGACACGGGGGACCCAGCGGCTCAGGGGATCCCGATGCCCCAGTCTCTCCCCGGGGTGCCTCGCGTCCTCCCCCCGGGGTGGGGGTACCTACGTGGGGCCAGAGGTGGAGCAGAGCGTCCCCGCAGAGCGTCCCCACGGCCAGTGCCACCAGGAAGGCCAGCAGCGAGCGGAAGAAGCTGCGGCTCAGCAGCGGGACGAGGACGACGGCCAGGGCGGAGGGCAGGCTGATGAAGGCGACGGCCAGGAGCCCCCAGCCCAGCGCTGCGGGGCGGGTGAGGCGGGCACGGCCGCGGCACGAGGGTGCGGGACCCGGGGCCGGGGGGAATGCAGGATGGGGGTCCTTGGGGAAGCAGGGTTGGGGACCCCCAGACTGGGAATGTAGGGTGACGGGAACCTGGGGAGGGGGGGATGCAGGAAAGGGGCAATGGGTGCTGCAGGGATGGGGTGGCGGGGATGGGGGACGTGGGGAACAGATGTCGAAGGGATGCAGGGATGGTGAGGGAGGGATGGGGGACCTGGAGGTGCCAGGGATGGGGCTGCGGGGACAGGGCTCAGAGTGACCCAGGGGACCAGACACTGGGGGGGCCAAGGATGGGGGACACGGGGGACCAGACACTGGGGGAGCCAAGGATGGGAGACATGGGGGACCAGACACTGGGGGAGCCAAGGATGGGGGACACGGGGGACCAGACACCTGGGGATGGGGCCACGGCGATGCGAGACGTGGGGACTGGCTGATGGGGGACTTGGGAGGGGGCTGCACAGGGACGGGGGCCCCAGGGACGGCTGACTTGAGGATGGGGGCCAGGGAGGGGCCCCGGGTTGGGGTTACCTGGCCACAGGCCCCCCCCCGGGGGAGGCAGCGTCACCTCATCGCTGTGCTGGATGCAGACGCGGCTGTCGATCTGGTAGAGCAGGGCCGGGCAGAGGAGGGTGAACTGCTCCGGTGTCAGCTGGGACACCGACGCCAGCCCAAAATTCACCAGCAGCTGGGTGACATTGAGGCACTGGGCGGGGGGGGGGGGGGACACAGCGGTGAGCGGTGCTGGGGGCCAAGGAGCAGCCGGGGTTCCCTGGGGGCTCCCGGTATATGGTGGAGGAGTGGGACGGCGTGACCCCCCCCCCCCCAGCCCTGCTCACATCGTCGTGCGGGTGGTCGGCGCTGGAGTGCTCCAAGCCCAGCACCCTCCCCAACAGGCTCAGGCTGGGCTGGTCCCTCCGGGGGGGCAGGGGGGCCCCTCCACGGCTCCCAGGGGTGACCCCAGCCCCGGGGGGCTCAGCAGGCGCTGTCTTCATCCAGCTTTTTGTCTGGGAGTTCTGGAGGCTGGGGGGGGAGTGGGGGGGGAAAGGCGAGCGTGGATGAACTCACCCCCCCCCCCAATCTCCATCACAGCGGGGCTGGGGGGGGGCGCAGCGCAGGCGGCGGGTACCTGGGCGTCGGGGTGGCGGGTGCCGGGGGGGGGGCCGTGCTCCCAGGCTGGGTGGCGGTGCCGGTGCTTCTCGTCCTGGACCTCGAGCAGGTCGAGGTGGGTGACGTGGCCGTGGCCCAGCTCCTCGTGCTGGACCCGCACCACGCGCACGCGGCCCAGCCCCAGGCTGCCCAGCAGCCGCGCCAGCCCCTCGAAGGGCAGCGTCCCGTTGGCCCCGTACAGCCCGAAAAGCTGCTGCAGGTAGTAGCCGTGCTCCTGCGCCGCGTCCTCGGGCAGCGGCCCCCCCCCGGCCCCCAGAGCCAGCAGCCCCAGGATGCCCAGGAGGAGCCCACGGGGGCCCATGGGGCCCGATCCTGCACGGCGGAAAGCGGGGGGGGGGGGTGGGGGTGTCCCCGGCGGGGCTGTGGGGAGAGGGGGGACGCTGGTGTGAGGGGGGTGGGAGCTGCGGGGTTGCCAGCACCGCCCCCCCCCCTGCACACACCCCAGTTCCTCGGGGGGGGTGGGGTGGGTGTCCCTCCCTGCAGCCCCCGGTACGCACCCGCCTGCCGCCCGCCCGTCCGTCTGTCTGTCTGGAAAGCAACAGGCGGCATCAGGGTCACGGTGTGAGGACACGTGTCCCAGCACCAGCGCTCAGGGACACCCCTGGGGGAGCGCGGGGCTGGGGGGGCGGGGGGAAAAGGCCAGATGCTGCCCCGGTGCCCCCCATGGGGTCTAGATCCCCTGGGGGGGGCTTTGTGGGGATGACACTGGGGGGCACACAGTGACACTTGTCCTTGAGGGGAGGTTTTGCAACTGGGGCAGCTTTTGTGTTGGAGTTAATGTTTCACCGGGCGGGGAGATAACGCCAACGGCACCCCCAGGCAGGGTGCTCGCACCCCCGCCTGCCCGCGCCCCCCCCCACAGCCCCCCTGGCACAGCCGTACCCCCCCCCATAGCTCCCCACCACCAGTGAGGGACTGGGAAGCGATGGGAAACACCGAACCGCGGGTGGGACGGCCGTGGGGCCCGTCCTCCCCCTCCACGTGGGACTCACCGATGCCGTGGGGCTGGGAAAATCCCGTGACTCCAGGAGCTGGCGCCCCACCGGCATCCCCGCCACGGTGGGGTGCCCCCCCCCTTCCCCAGGGCCACCCCACTTCCACCAAGGAGGGGCTGCTGGTCCCCAGCATCATCCTGGTTGTGGGGCCCCATCCCGCCAGCTGCAGCGCCTGCGTGCCCCCCCCCCTCCCCACACACCTCCGGACCCCCCCGGGGGCTCACCTGGGCCCGGGCTGTGCTGATGGCGGGGGCCGGGGGGACGCGCCACACACCGGCCCCCGTCCCCGTGCCGCGGCCGCGCCGTCTGCTGCACCCGAACCGGGGGGGCCAAGGGTCACCCAGGAGCTGCTCCCAGCCAGCCCCGGTGCCGGGAGGGGCCACGGGGGTGGGGGGGGGGCCTTAAAGATCGAGGGGGGGTCTGGGTCCCCCGCACCAGGGAGCAGTCAGGGCGCAGGCAGGAGAACAACCTTTATTAACATCCACCCGAGGGGTCCTGGCCCCCCACCTCGACACGTGGTGGTTGGGGGGGAGGGTGTTTTGGGAGGGGGGGTGGCAGCGGCTGTGGCCCCCCCCCAGCTCCAGGGGCTGCTGGGCAGCGGCCGCGCGGCTCAGCCCCATCCTGCCCAGGACCCCCGAGCCCAGCTGGCCCAAGACAGGGGGGTCTGGGGTGGGGGCCCCTCACCCTCCCCTGAGGCACATGAGTGGGGGGCAGCTGGCCCCCCCCGCACCCCGGGGGCTGCTCAGGGCTGGGGGACCCCCCCCAGAGGGTACCGGGAGCCCAAGGGAAAGGGCCCGAGGGGGTCCCGGCCCGTTATCTCTTGCTGCTCCGCCGCGTCTCCTTGCCGTTGCTGACGGGGCCCGGGGGGGGGGCCGGGGTGGCCAGGCTGGCTGCGGGTGATGCGGCCGCTGGGGGGGTGAGGGGGGGCGCTGGGGGGGTGCGTGGGGCCCCCCGGGCTCAGCCCGTTCCCGTTCTGGCTGTCGGAGGCTGGAAGCAGAGTGGCGGGAGGAAGGTGAGATGGGGTGGGGGGGGGGATGGGGTGTGTGTGGAAGCAGGGGGGGGTCCCACACCCCCAGGGTGGGGTGGGTGGGGTGACCTACCTGGGGATGTTGCGGGGGGGCCCTGCCCGGTCTGCGAAGCGGCTGGGCTCGCGCTCTCGTTCTGGGCCTGCGGAGGAGACGGAGACCCCCCGTGTGCCTGAGAGGTGGGGCCGAGGGGGGTGTTCAAGGGGTGGGGGGGTTCCGGGGGTCCCGGTGGTGCCATCCTGCGTGTGTCGTGTGTGTGTCCGTGTCCCCCCCCGCCCCCCCCAACAAAACTCACCCCTTTGCTCTGCGACTGCTGCGCCACGTACTCGGGGTTGGGCTCGCTGAAGTTGGGCACCTCCGAGTAGACCATGCAGAACCTGCCAGCACATGGGGGGGGTGGTGGTGGGGACCCCCCCGCCATGCCCCAACGCCCCCCCCCCCCCAAAACTCAAACACACCCCCCCCCCCCCCCCCCGGTCCTTACTCGCCGATCTTCTGCAGGTCGCCTCCGCGCCCCGTGTAGAGCGTCAGGCAGCCCTTGAAGACGGACGCGTAGCTGGTGGGGGGGACACACACAAGGGTGTCAGGCTGGGGGGTGGGGGGGCACCCCCAAAGGTAGGGGGTCCCCCCCCCCCCCCGCCTACCCCTTGGTGAGGCGGATGATGTCCCCGGGCTGGATGAGGTTCCCCACATCGTCCCACACCGAAATGTTGATGCTGCCCGTCTTGTCGGCCACCTTGCAGGTCCGCACCTCGTGCCCGTCCTTTGTCTTCGTCACCCGGCCTGGGGGGGGGGGTCACCGGGAGCACCGGGAGAGAGGAGGGGGGGTGTTAACGGGGAGGGGGGGGGGGGGGGGGGGGGGCGCGGGGGCCCCCGGCCCCCCGCTGCACCCACCTGTCTCCAGCACGATGAAGATGAGGTTGAGGTTCTTCAGCCCCGGTTTCACGTCCTTCACCAGCGTCTCGGTGCTCATGGTGCCGGCGGGGGGGGATGGGGGGGGGGGCCCTGCGGGCGCAGCCGTCAGCCCCGGTCGCACCGGGGGAACCGGGCGGGGGTCACACACCCCACCTCACACACACGCTTTGCCCACCCCCCCCAATCCGGCACCCCCGGGACGCGCCCACGGCAGCAGCACCAGGGGCGGAACCCCCGGGGCTACCGGGCGCCCCGCCCCGCCGCCAGGGGGCGCTCGCACACGCTCCCCCCCACCGCTCTCCCCGCGCCGCGCGCGCTGACCTGCCCGAGCGCCGCCGCCGCCGGCGCTCCCGGAAGTCGCCGGCCGCCCCCCTGAAGCAGCCAATCAGCGCGCGGGGGGGGCGGAGGGCGCCCCGTGCCGCCGGCGAATGGCGGGGCGGAGGAGGCGGGGATTCAGCCTTAAGCCCCGCCCTGACCAGAGAGTTCCGGCGCTTCTCGCCGACCAGAGCGGCGCTTCCGGCCGGCGGCGGGGCGGGGGCTTCCGGCGGGGCCGGGCGGGGGGAGCGGTGGAGGCCGCGGCCGCCCCTGAGCCCCGCGGCGTCCCGGAGCCGGCGCGGGCGGCAGGCGGTACGTGAGGCGGGGGGGGGGGTAAAGAACGACCGGGGGCGGTGTTCGGGAATAGAGGGGATTGGGGGGGGTGGGGCGCGGGGCGGCCGCGGCAGCACCGGGAGCGGGGCGGTGGCTCTCGCGGGGTGCCGGGGTCTTGAGGTCCGCTGCGACCCCGGGCCGGGGTGCGGGGGCTGGCAGGAGGTGAGGTCTGAGGTGGGGTCGGCCCCCGGCGCTGCGGGGCTCTGCGCGGCCGGGACGAGGATCCCCCGGTTTCGGTGTCCGGCCCCGGTCCTGCCCGCCCCACGCGTGTCCGCGGCCGCTGCGGCCCGAGCGGGCTCAGACGCGCTGGCCGAGCCGGAGGGCGGCTGGAAAACCGCGGAATAAAACCCAAACCAGACCCCGTGGCCTGCGAAACTGCCGTGTCCACCCGGCGATGCAGCGCCGTGAATACGCCTGGACTCCCGGGGCACTTCCCCTTCTGGTCGCTTTTGAAGGAAAGACTTTTAATTGGGCTGAAAGTTGCTCCGATGACAAATTATTTGCAGCCTCTGGGTGCTGCTGTGGTGTGGGGAGGATTCGGGCCGTCCTGATCCCGGAGTGCTCCCGGGCGAGGAGCGGGGAATCCCCTGCACGCAGAGGAATGTGGGGAACAGGGGCAGCTTCCCCCTTGTCGGAGCCCTGAGCTCTGGAGCACAGCACGCAGGCTGTCTGTCTGCTCAGGGAAGGGTAGGAAGCAGAGGGAGGCTGGTAATTAAATGGGATAAGGCTTGATTCACGGCGAGGTTTTGCAAACGGGCTGCGTTCTGCTGCTTGTCTCACCTGAGCTCGGCGGCATTTCGTCTTACAGGAAAGGCCTTAGTCTTTTTTAATACAGCTTTAAGCGATAAATGTAAAAACATACAAATACGCAACAGTATCGGGTTGACTCCTTTGTTACAATAATAAAGCTGCTTGTGGTGGCTTTGGGGGCTGGGTGCCATCGTGCCGGCTCAGTGCGGTGCAAGCGCCCAGGGGTGGCTCTGAGCTGGCTTCATCCTTGTTGCCAAGACCAGCAGATAAAACCGAAGCAGTTTTTCCGATTCAGGCTTCCCTGCTGTCAATTTTTGCAAAGCTAGAACAAGCAGAGGAGTTGCAAGAGAAATTTGGATTTGTGTCAGAAGATCTTAAGGTGGCATTTGGGGAAACTATTTTTAGCGGGATTGCGTAACTTAGAAGCACAGACTTTACCTACTAGGCAAATATTTCTTTCCCTGCACACGAAGCGCTCCTGCAGTGCAGTGTCCTGCCGGAAGCGCCTCTCGCCCCAGCTCTTCCCCGGGCTGAGGCTGAGGTGAGCGGGGCTCTGGCCAAGGGCTGTAATTGCCAAAGCAAAGTGTCACGGGGAGGCAGCCGATGTTTAGGTCACCAGCTCGGTCATGCTCAGCCTGTTGGGGAGGCTGGGATGTGTGAGGGCTCTCAGGCTGGCTGGGGGCTCCGGAGGGACCCTTATTCTTCCCAATTAAATGGAAAAGAAAAAGGCAAGGCAGAGCCATTTTTCATGGGGTTGGAAGACAAGGTAAGGAGCAGTCTGAGGTGTGGTGATGGTTCTCTGTTCTCGTGGCCGATGTCGGGCCCTTGTCCCCGGGGGAGTGTGTGTCTGTGTCAGGGGCGTACAGGGCTCGTGGTGCCAGCGCTCGATGGTGTCTGCAGGGGTTGTTCTGCTTTTTAGGAGAGTTGCAAAGTTCCTCTTCAGGAAATGCAGGTTTCTCTTCTGTGGGGCTGGAGGCCTGGTTCTTGTGTGGAGGAAGAGAGGTGTCTTCACCTGGGCCCTGAGAGGGGCTAGGCACAGCCTTCCACCTCAGCTTTTACCATGCTCATCTTTCCTTCCTTTTTTTTTTTTTTTTTTTTTCCCCCCCCCCTGTGACTAGATCTGTCCTGTCTGACCTTATGACTCCTGCGTGGCAGTGGCTCTTGGCCCTTGAAGAACGGCATTTTAAACTGTAGAAGAGGAAGGGGAAAAGATGGGCCTTTGGGAGCGTCTCCCTGAAAAGAGTCAGCCCAGCCCAGCCCTGCCTCTTTGCTTCTTAGGGAGGAATTCTGCCACAGAAGGTAAATCACGTACCTCAAAACTTTCTCCATCTGTGCACAAGGGATGAGGTCAAGGCCTTCCTCCACACACGTGGAGCCTCCGACTCGTGAACAGCTAAGAGTTACATCAGCAGTTTTACAGGGTTTTGCTTTATATACGCTTTCAGGGCTTTCAGCTGACTGCTGCTGCGGTTCACTTTGAAGTCATATTTATCTAAAAACATGGGTTTTGCTCTGTTAACGAGAAAGATCCCTGTATGTCTTGACAGTCCCCCTGTTGCAGCTGACAGTGCAGCACGTACGGCTGTTCTCGCAGCTTGTAGCTGCCTGATCTCTCCCCCGGCAGATTTACTGTTTAGAGATTCATGGGTCTGTGCAGGTGCGCAGTGAAGGAGCAGCTCTTGCTCTAAAGCCGTTAAAGAACCTTTGTTGTAAATTAATGTCTACAGGGAAATAGCGAGATCTTCCTTAAATTTCAGAGGTTTAGAATAAGTCCTGCCAAACTGGCTTAGAAACTGCCCCTGCCTGGTTTCAGTATCTCGTATTTCACTTGGTGCTGTAGAAGGAGAAGGGCAGGCACTGGAATTCCCAGAGCACTCTTGAAAGAGCGAGGTGCCCTGTGACTTGTGGGGGAAAGTGCTTTGTTAACGAAACCCACTGATGAATCTAGAGTTCTGGGAAGGCATCCGAAAAGGCTGCAGAGGCAGCTGGAGGCAATGCAAAGCGAACCTCAAACAAAGCTGAAGGTAAAAGGGAGCCGTGCGTTGCACCGCTCAGGCGGCCTCTGCCTGTTTCTCTCTTGGTGACTGGCCAACTGCTGGGGCTTCGCAGCTTGTGTGGGCTCCTCGCAGCAGAAATCGGGACACGATCCGTGCGGCTCTGCTGTGAGCGTGGGATTATTCACGGAGCCTGAAGAGATCCCTCGCCTCCAAATGCTTTCGAGTGAAGGCAAAAAGCTCCTTTGGTCTCACATTACTGTTTCCCTGTGGCAGCTGGTCTGTGCTGACAGGTAGTGCCCACAGTTGAAGGTGGGTCTGACCGGCAGCACGGAGGCTTGGCTGAGCTGTGAGGGGCCCGGTCCTGCCCTGGGCTCCCAGGAATCCTCTCCTCTGGTTTGAGGAGCTGGGACAGCTCAGAGTGCTGCTGGTGGGACTGGTGGCTCCAGGGCGTCCGCTGGCCTGCTGGGTCCACCTTTCCATGGCAGGTACCGGAGCAGCACGTCTGCCCCTGTTTAAACAAGCTGCCCAGCGCGCTTTCCTTTGGGACAAGGCATTGCTTCTGCTTCTGGTGGAGCAGTTGGGGCTGGGAGGGGACAGGCTACCGATGGAGCAGCGATGCGGGATGCTTTTTATGACTGAGTGTGCCTATTCAGACGTTTTGCTGGCTGCAACTTATATCTGCTGTTCCTGAGGGGAGGGGAAAAATCCCCCCAAACATAAACTGGTTTAACTTCAGATTTAGGCTTTTCATTTTCTTGATGTCTTGACACCACAAGAAACGGACCATAAAATGAAAGGCTTGGCAGAGCTGGGTGAAGTTGCACTGCATAATTCTAGCACGGCCCCAGCTGTTAACAAGTGGCTCGTTCCACTTACCTAACGAAGGGACGCCGGCGTCGCAGACCCTCGTGTCTTCTGCCTGACCCGTAGCTGTGAGCGCTCTGCAGACAAACCGCTTCTGGTGGGTGCAGGGCCCGTCCCATGTGTGGGGCCTGGTCCTGGTCAGAGCTTTCTGGGGTCTCTGCCATCATGGGTGAGGAACGTGCAACCCCCAGGAGGCAGCTGGGGCCGGGTTCCTGCCTCTGGGCTGTCAGTGGCAACGTCTTCCTCTGGTCTTGCTGCATCTGCCTGTAGACAGGCTGCGGCAGTGTGCTGCGCCGCATTCCTCCGTGATCTCTGGGGTTTGTGGGATGTGTCAGAGCTCAGAGGGCAGCCGGTGCCCTGGCAGCTGGTGGCTTGAGTGGTTTTTAATGGGAGTCACAGGACTTGTTTAGTTCCTAACCAGGTTCCTGGTAGGCAGAGCTCAAGTGAAATAAAGAGACTTTGCGAGTGAAAATGCAGCAAGTGGGAAGAATATTCTAAGCTTGTAGCAGAAAGAACAAAACTCCAAATGTGTGTTTCTGCCTGGATTTTGAATGTTTCCCTTCTGATAAACCTGGGGCATAGGGACCTGAGGCTTGGGAGGCTGTGGTTTGCGACACCCAGAGCGAGCATATCCCCTGGTCCTGAGGATGCTCGGTGACAGCTCTCTCCTGTGCCAGGGGGGCCATGGGCAGGGTCCCACCCCCAAGCTGCTGCTGGGGAACTGCAGCCTCTGCAAGGCAGGGTGGGAGACAAAGCATGGGTGTAGTCCTGTAAGGGAGTGTATCCCCCCCATTGGAATATTTTTGGAGGAATGTAATGTTGTCTTGTGGAAATCTGCCACGAGGTTTCCTTCCCTGACACAAAAGTGGTACTGACCTTTGAGTGTTCACCCAGTTGTCCCCGTGTTGTTGTGTATCTGTGGGATTTGGGGTGTTATTTCTGCCCCTTTGTCAGTCCTGTCTGAGCTGTCAAAGCCCCTTTACAACGCTGTAGATTGAATTCCTGAGCTTTGTAAGGGCTTGATCTGAAAATAAGTACAGAAGGGAAGTGGCAGGACTTGGGTGGGCAGCTCAGGAGCTCCAGGTCAGGCCACCCTATCAGAATGTCTGAATAAAGAGCAAGACCTTGATGTTCCCAAAACAATGTGTGATTTTTATGGTTCTCTTCCTCTCAGAAGTCGTTGCCATGGCTTAGCAACCTGCAGCAACAAACTGCGTTCCCTGAGCTGCTTTCGGTTGCGAAGCAGAACCTTGCAGTCAGCTGTGAGTTTTGAGCATGTGTTTCGTAGGGCTGTAGGACTTGATGCAGCACCGGGGACTTGGCAGCCCGGGAGATCTTGTCATGTTCCTCGCAGGCTGGAGGTAAGGGTGGCTGGAGCGGAGCAGGGGTTTGATCTGGTCCATGGATGTTCCCTCTGCTCATCCCACGGCTCTGGAAGAGAGCTGCTGTTGCAGTTTTCTGGCTGTGGAATTGGGGACTGGGTGGATAAAAGCTGTCTCGTGCCGAGCGTGCGCCGATGAGCAGGCTGTGCTGGAGGAGGAGGGATGGGGCACTGCCCAGGTTCACCTGGGCTGCTTGGCTGGCTTTTTTGGATGGGCCTTGCCTGGTGCGAGGGGATAACGCCCTTGCCCCACGGCTGTGCGTGGGGCTGCCCACCTCCCTCTTAAATCATCCTTGGCTCCCGTAGGTGCAGAGGTGACACTGCACAGCGCGATGGGACCTTGGTGTGCTGAGGCCTGCTCTGCTTTCAGTAGCCACCTCAAGACTTCCCAAAGGCGCTTTTTTTTTTTGTTGTTGTTGTTGCTTTACTTTCTCAAGATGGCTGATTTCCTCAGCAAACTTTTCTGCCTCCAGCCTCTTTCACTTAAATCCTCTCAACACATTACAAGTGCCGAAAACAGGATGAGTGTGTTGGGTCCCAGCTGGGAGAGACTGGAGGCTGGCAGTGCTCTTTTTGGTACCAGCAGAGTTGTTTCATGTTGTGGGATTTTGAGGCGCTGCCAGCATTGGGCACAATGCCTGTAGGTGTTCCCAGGACTATCAGCCGGGCTTTAGTGATCCTGAAGAGCTTCCCAGACTAAGGAACGGCCTTGCTGGGTGGCAGAGCCCTCCAGCCTGATTCTGCAGGGGTTAAGCACTAGTTCTTCAACATGGTGTTTGTCCTTCCACCAGTTACCAAAACGGGATCTTGAACATGGGTAGGGCCTCACGATTGATGTGTTTTCCTCCTATTATACAACCGGGAACGATTGTTTAACACCGCTTTCCTTTTGATCTTGTTTGCCTGTGTGTACTTGGGCAAAAGCTTCCTTTGACTTGTGAAAGGCTTTTCATAAAAAGGGATTTTAATTTTTTTTTTTTCCTTTAGAAAGTTTTGCTCTCTGGACGTGTGCTAATGTCAAAAAAGAAGATCAACACTGGAGGAAAAATCTTTATGGGAAGAGCTGTTAGATTTGTACACTCAATGCTTTTGGCTTTTAATTAGCAAGTAATGAGTAATATTTTTATGTGTTTTGCCTGTGGCCTCTTGAATCAAAATAGTATGTACTAAAACTTTGTGGATTACAGTCAGTCATTCCTGAAGTCTCTGCTAACTGGTTAAAACACTTTGAAGAAACACCTCCACCCAATAAAAGTTTTAGGCCTGGGGGATATTGATTATTTTGGGTGTGAGAGGGGCTGCAGTGAGCATGCTGAAGCCACTGAGTTTTGTTCCTGCTGAAGGAGACGTTTGGAGAAGGAATGAATTAACTCGTGTCACCATTGTTCCAAAACAAGTACATTAGCTCAATAATTATGTTGAAGTGGGTGGCAACCTTTTAAAGGATTAGTAAGCAAGAATCACGATACTAGTTAGCGTCGGGTAAATCAGTTGAACCCAACTCCTTGGTGTCCTTGAGCCCGTTGGGTCTGGAGTGTGGCTCTGCTGTGGTACTAGCAGTGTTTAACGAGCCGTGCTGCAGAGTCGAGGAGCACGAAGCCTTGCTGGGCTCTTCCTGGAGACTGGAAGTGCTGTTGGGATTGCTTCGCTGGCTTTTAGGGCGAGTGGAGAGTAAATTACTTTAAATTGCTGTCTGCTTCCTGGGTATGTGCAACAGCAATTAGAGGCCCTGTGTGTTAAGGCTGGAGAGGAGCAAACGAGTCACGTTTCAGCTGAGGCTGTTTGAGTGTCTGATCAGATTTTTTGGTGGGGAGGGAGCGCTGCTGCACTGTGTGGTGTCATTAGTGGGGTGGTTAATTATGCACATGCCAAGCAGCTGGTGGTGTGTGTGCAGGTGGAACTGGTTTGCTGTATCTTCTGCTCTTCACCAGTTACTCTTGGTGGAGAAGCTGAAGTCGGGCAGGTGAAGTGACTCTCCTGGCCTGCAGACCAGGGCTCTCATCTGTGCCAGTGGTTTTTAAGCTCATGGCCTGTAGATGTCTCAAATGCAGGCAGAA